GAATCTTATATATATATATATGTGTTTAATGCAGAGATAGATCCTTGATTAGATAGGGATGAAAGATTACCAGGGATATGCAGGAATGTAGAGTTGGAATGTAAATCAGATCAGCCATGATCTTACTGAATCGCACAGCAAACTTGAAGGGCTAAGTGGCCGACTTGTTCTTTGTGCACTTGTTCATGTAAGTGATTTAATGAATCCTATGATTGTTTTTTAAAAAGGACAGTCAGGGTAGATGCAGGTAAGATGCTTCCCCTGGTTGCGAATCTAGAACCAGGGGCACAATTTTAAAATAAAGGGGTTATGACTTAGCACCAAGATTAGGAAGAAGAAAAATTCACTCGGTGGGTTGTGAATTTTTGGAATTCTCCACTCCAGAGAGCTGTGCAAGTTCAGTCTTTCAGTATGTTTAAGGTAAAGATTTACAGACTTCTGATCAACCCTATACCCTTTATGCCATTGGTAGAGTGGGTAAAAGGCATTGAGGCATTCAATCTGACTGATTGTATTAAATGGCTTGCAAGCTCAATAGACTGAATGAGCTGAATTCTGTTCCAAGGGTGGGCAGCTGGTAGTTGCAGCTTACCGAATGCTTGTCCTAGCCATCATGTAAATGTTTCTTCACAACTGCATCCCTGCATCCTCCATGGCCACCACCTTCCTCAACCCTTTGTCTCCAAGAATAAGCATGAGCAAACCACCAACCTTACAACATCATGCTGCCTGCTCTGGGTCCAACTCAGCCACCACTTCAGTCTTTCAACATTTTCCTTGGGAACTCAGAGGTATTTATGACTTGCATGCTTCTGCCAGATTGCTATATATGCAGGAACATGCACGCATCTTACGCATCTGCACAAGACAAATTATACAGCTCTTAATTTGCTTTCTTAGAACCCACTCACTGACTTCAGCATTGACTTGTGAGTTCGTTGCCTCACAAAAATGACCATATCTGAAAGTTAGTGTCGGGCATACAAATGTGGCCTGCCCATTTTACCTTTCATTTTCATCATCTATTAGGATAACATAATCAAGAAAACAGTCAATTGCTGCTGTTTTGTCCATCAATTTATCAATAGCTCCAGCTTGTATGGAATGCTTCCATGTGAGATGAATGAAGTACTGAATTTCTATTCAGGTGATAGAATGAAAAATCTAGATAGGAGAGGTCAGAATTGCAACCACTGAGCATCTAGATTAATTTGACTTAAGCAAATCGACTGGATGCAAGATGAATAACAATCAAGCCATTGTTAAATTCTTTCTTTCCAGAGATTTTCAAAAGAAAATTAATTTGTAAGAACTTTATATAAAATGAATAAAACTGACAGGATTTAAATACAATTACCAGACCCTTGAATGTTAAAGCAGTAAATTACTATTCTCATTATTCACTGACCTCCTTTCATCATGGCTGAATAGCAACATCACATCAGCATGTGACCTTATGAATACAGTATCAAGGGCTTTAAAGGCAGGATGGCAATATTTAAAATTGTGAAAAACAAGCTGGTTCTGATGGTCATTGACCTGGTAACCCAACTGTTAACCCTGCCTTCCTTTCTCCACAAAAGCTGCCAAACTGATTGCATCCATAATAAAAACCGAAAGAACTGAGGATCTGTAAATCACAAACAAAAACAAAAGTTGCTGGAAAAGGTCAGCGGGTCTGGCAGCATCCATGAACAAAAAAATCAGAGTTAACATTTTGGGTCAGGTGACCCTTCCTCAGAACAGGTTGCTATTGTGTTCCTCAAGTTGTTAGCAATACTGAAGTAATTATTTATGACAACAGCATTTGTTATGAGCATAACACTGTTGATATGGTATAGATAGATATCAGGCATTTGATACAGTGGCACATAACAGACGTGAAGGAAGTTATAGGTCATTATATAAAACGGACAGTAGTAACATGGAAACAAAATTGTCTGAGTGACAGGAAGCAAAGGTTAATGATCTGTGGATATTTCTTTGAGCTGAAGGAACGTTCGTAATGGATTACCCTCCAAGGGGTAAAATTGGGATAAAAACAGAGTGAATGCTGGAGAAACTCAGCAGGTCTGGCAGCATTTGTGGAGCGAGAAACAGAGTTAATGTTGAGTCTGGTATGACTTCTTCAGAACTGAAAGGTGTTGGAAAATAGGATTTTTTAATATACTTTTGACAGAAGCAGAGGAGGAGCAAGAGCACAGATTGTATAGAGACCCATTGCAAAAGACAAAGGGATTGTTTATAGTGGAGAAAGAGATAAAAGAGATATAAAAGGGTGTAAATTAAGGTGTGAAAGGGGAGAATTAGTCCTTGCTACCACTTGCAAAGTAAACGAGACACGAACATGACAGGGTTGAAGCGGACAGAAAGTGGGGAAAAACAGCAGAACAGATATAATGCAGTCAGTTTCTGAGGTTATTGAATTCAACATCAAGACCTCAAAGCTGCAAAATGCCCAGGTGAGAAATGAGGTGGTGTGTTATGCTTCATTAGAACATTGCAGCAGGCCCAAGGCAGAAATGTAAGCATGAGGATAAAGTGGTTTATTGAAATGGTAATCAACTTCCGACATGCAAAAATACCCAGTTCTTTCTTCAGATCGTTCATGCAATAGTTGTGGTCCCAGCACTGGCCCATGTGTAACCCCACTAGTTACTGGCTGTCATACTGAAAAAGACCTCCCCCCCCCCATTCTCTACCTTCTGCCAGTCAGCCAATCCTCTCCCCATGTTAGTACCCTGTCCCAATACCAGGAGCTCTTACCTTATTTAGCAACTTCCGCACAGCACCTTGTCAAAGGCCTTCTAGAAATCCAAATAGATCACATCCACTAGCTCTCCTTTATCTAACTTGCTTATTACCTCATCAAAGAATTCTAATCTCCTCAAAGAATTCTAACACATTTGTCAATTATGACATCCCTTTCATGAAGCCATGGTGACTCAGCCCTATTTTAGCATGCATTTCCAAGTTCTCATCCCTAAGTAACAGGCTCTAAAATCTTACCAACAACGAAAATCAGGCTAACTGATGTATAATTTTCTGTCTTCTGCCTCCCTGCCATCTTAATCAGGGGTGTTAAATTTGCCATTTTGAAGTCACCTGGGACCATCCCTTTGGAACGCTGGGGTGTAGTCCATCCAGTCTGGTCAGTTACCCATCTTCAGGTCTTTCAGCTTCCCCAGCACCTTCTCCGCAGTAATTGCCATTACACTCACCTCTGCCACCTGTCTCTCAAAGTTCTAGTATGCAACTTGTGTCTTCCAACATTAAAACTCAAGTACATGTTCAGTTCCTCTGCCATTTATTGGTTCCCCATTGCTTCTTCTCCAGCCTCCTTTTACAACAGTCCAATGTTGCCGTTCTCTTACCTTTTGTACATGTGAAAACTCTTGCAATATCCTTTTGTATTCCTAACTAACTTACCCTCATGTTTCATCTTCTCCCTGAACCCCTAACTGCTTTTCTCAGTTCTCCTCTGCTGGTTTTTAAAGCTTCCCAATGACTTTCACCACATTGTTGTTTTTGTTTTGTTTTTATGCTGACCATGACTTCCCTTGTTAGGCATGGTTGCCTCATCCTCTACTTCGTATGTTTCTTCTTCCTTGGGATGAATTTCTGCTGTGCCTCCAGAATTATGCTGAAAAACCCCTGTCCTTGTTGCTCCATCATCTCCCCTTCCAATCAGTCTGGCCAGCTTCTCCCTCGTGTGTTTGTAGTTACCTTACAGTGATATGCAAAAGAAGCAAGGGTGACGTATGAAAAAACCATTTCACACAGCATGTAATTAGGGTAGAGGCAGGTTCAATTCAGGCATTCAAGAGGATGTTGGATAGAAATAGCATGCAATTTTGTTTGAAGAGGCAAGATAAGCCAAATGGGCTCCACCTACATCATAACAATTCTGTGACTAAGTCTGGAATTTGCGCAACTGTATTTATTCTTTTTTGTTAATTTATATATCTACTTACAACTATATAGTCTATTTAGTATTAAAGAACACAGCATTTAAGGAAAATGGACATCCAAACAAAGTTTGTATGCAATAAAATAAACTGGTAAAGCCTTGTCTTTTAGGGGGAGATGGTGACAAGAACTAAGGTTGTGAGCTGTCTGATTCAGCCTAAAACAGTGGCACGGGATGGTCAGTGGCAAAAGTGCAGAGTAGTTCCCAGGGGGTCAAAGACGAAGGCTTTTGCCTCCCCTCGCAATTCAAAGAATACAGATGAACAGCAAAGCAATATAAAAATATGGATTCTGACCCCATGCAAGCTTTGATTTTGGCAAACATCATATAGTTGAGGATGCAGAGCAAATATTCGAGAGGCTCAGGAAATGAATGGCGGAGTTGGAAAAAGAGAAGCCACTGCTGGAGTTAGTTTGGTAACAATTGGAAAAGTAATAATGGAACCAAAAAAGATTTGTAATAAAATAATGGAACCAAAATATACAGCTGGACAAAACAGGTGAAACTTTGTAGAAGGAGAGTATAATGTGCCTGTTTAAGGCTGCATAGATCAAGAAATACAAAGGGGGTAATGTATTAGTATCAGAACATGTTATTATACCTCAAACTCTAAGGAAATATGTGCAAGAGTTTCAGCATGTTGATGGTTTAAATTCTTCATATTTTGTCTGTTGTGTACATTGTTAATGTAATATTGTTAAGAAGTAAATAGAAAACAAATTATTTATGTATCTGCTGGAATATGTGCTTTTCCTTGTAGGTATATGACATATAAATGATATCATTTTCTTTTCAAGGAAGTCAAATGATACAACGATTAGTTAAGCCACATTATTTCCATAAGGATTGAACTGAATATTAGTTTTCATAAATTCATATTATCACCATCCAATTTTCCAAAGTAGCAGGTTTCTTGTTTCATGTCCACCATGAAGGGGTGTACTCAATTAATGGACATATCACTCTGTCAAGATTGGGAAAGGTGCATTATGCAGATGTCACGAAATGTGACAAAAAAATTGAAAGCATGTTTCTTAAAACTTGGCCTTTATTAAACTCTGTACTGAGCTCTATTTTATTCTCACATTACAATACACCAGCTTTGCAAGTGGAAGAGAGAAAAAAAAGTTTGCTTTGCTTTTAGAAAGTTAAGCCATTGTCAAATTATTCTCTTCCATTACAAGTATGGAAGAAAAAAATCCTTTGTAATAACTACTACAATTTCACGCTGTCAAGAAATATAAAAAAAAACTCAAAACATAAAAAGAATGGACATTGATTTGTTAGCAGTTCTATGGAATACTATTACAATCCACCTCAGGCCCACTGCTGTTCTGAACCACAGTATCATAATATACAAACATTCTAGAGCATTCACACTATTACTCTACAGTATATTAAACATTGGGAAGGGACACCAACTCCTTACAATGTACAGTACAAGTATGGATAAAAATTGATAAAATAATCACATCTGTACACAATATATGTGCAAACTGTATCCTTTAAATACATGGTTCTGGAAGAGTTGAAATATATACAAAGTATGCAATGGAGTCACCCCATGGCTGTACCCAATGAACTGAACATTTTACACAGCCACCTAATGGTAACCATAATTCCTCGTAGTTTTGTTGTTGTGCTATGCGGTTTTAGTTGTACAATGTTGGATTGTAGAGAATTTGGCATAGTTTCAAAGGTTGGACCAGCTTTGTTTTACAGGGCAAAAAATAAACTTTTTTACCATTAGGCAGTGTGACCATAAAGCTAGACAACTGAACCCCACAGGATACGTAATTCAGGACAGGCGACCCTGCTTTTGAAATGATTGAAATCGTGATTCAAGGTTTGTAACATCTTGTAAATTTGAGCCAACAAACCTGGAAAACTGAACCAAGTCTGAAAATATCTTTCTTTCTTGTTTTAAAAATACATAAAAAATACAAGTATTATGTCCATTGCCTTGTCTGAATAAATATACTTAACAAGTTGCAAGATAATACAATTTTTTTATTTTACACAAAATTCTCAGGTCTAGAAATTTTTGTTAAATAACTTCATTGCTGTGATATATTTGAAACTTTTTCGTAATAAAATAAAAACTCTGCAATTACATATAAAAAGAGACAAAATAGTCTTGCTACAGAAATTAGTCTACTGAAAACCAGCTTCTCCAATGACTGTAAACAGTACAAAATTTAAATAAGAAATCTCATTTGCATAACTTGTGTGCTCAAAATCCAACAGCAAAATAGCGGAAGACATTTTTCATTAGTTTCAGTTTTCAATACACTAAATTTCCTGTAACAATCTATTTTGTCCCATTTCCCAAATTACACAAAATAGGGCACTCTGCTCACTGTGTACTTTGGCAGTTCAACATAGCTAATGCTCCCACAACTAAGACTGAATTGGAACTAACCCAACATATGAACTGAGCTGACTGGGCTCGTATTTTGCATTAACCGTTCCATTACCAACAAAGCTTTCTTCTGGCGCAATATTGTTCTGCATGTCTTCCGAAAAAAATGATCACATTCATTTTATTAATTCACTGAGAGGTTTCCACAAAGTGCTTTGTCATGTAATAGAGTGGACAGTAGTCATCAGTGAAGTAAGTCACATCTCCAAATTACATTCAACTCTGAAACTTGCAGTGCTAGAGGCACTGGAAGTTAACCAGGTGGAGTAGGAATCATTTTCTTGAATTCCACCGGTAATGCACAAGTCCAATCAGCTGAGTGCTTCCTATGCTAACGTTCCAAGGCTTTTAGCACTTGTGTCATGGCAGCAGCTGCTGTGGAAAAAAGATAGTGAAGTTTGGAGGGGTGCTTCATCACCTGCACTCTACTGCCACACTATTCTGGGCTGGTGAGGAAGAAGTCGGACTCATTCCGGTTTCTGAAGAAGCAGAGGATGTGCCTGGAGCTGCAGATATAACTATAGGATAAAAGATAATGAATTAGCATCTGTATAAATAGATCTGTATAAAATATTACATAATCAATGCTGTATATAATAACATTGTGAAAGGTCCTAAGATCTCAAAGCTTACAATAGATCATTCGGTTCATTGAATTTTCAGCATGCCAATCCCAGAAATATATGCCCAATTCCAACTATGTCATCAAGAGACAAGTCAACGGAAAATCAGATGCTTCCCACAAACAAGGGTGGGAGAAATTCATCTTAAAACCTGGCAAGTCACCAAGTTTTGTTTGGCTGGTTTGACAGAAAGAAGAGTTGGAATCTGGGGAGTCTGTCATCTTGGGTAAGAAAACATTAAAAAGTGAATAAATGAGTAAGAAATTTTTTATTTAAAGAGCTAACCACATTACAAAAATTATCACTGTAAAGAATTACTGAATAGAAACACTCAATGACTGATGCTATTTTGGCTAATTTCATGTTGAATACTATGTTTATCAATTTCAATCACAATTACTCTACAGTCAATATAAATCTTTACAAAAATGTCTGGATCTCAATTGAGAAACACAATGGTATCCAATCACTTTGAAGAAAAACAGAAACGAACTGTTTAAGATTATTTTGTCTTTCAATTAAATCTCTCTTTGTAATACTTAGAAATATTTTTACATGGGTTGGTCTTTGTTCGGGATATAGGAGAAGGTTACCAGGAATAAAGAGAACATTATGATTCGTGAACTGCAATAAATGGAACTGTGCAGGGATCTGTACAAGCTCAACATTTCAACATAAACACTAATGATTTGGTTGAAGGAGCCGAGGATCGCATATCCAAATTTACAGAGGGCACTAAAATTTGGTGTGATAGTATGCTGTACAGTTGCAAGAAGGGAGTTATAAAGGAACATTATGGATGAAATAAGTAGGCAAAATTACATCAGATGGAATTTCAGTCCAAGGTAAAGGACAGACAGAGAGATAAATCAGAATATTTTCTTTAGAGTGGAAGATCAGGAACTTTGGAGGTGTTCAAGCTATTAATAATTAGTGCACAGGTACAAAAAGTAGCAAAAAACACACTTGCAATGTTGGCCTTAATCTCAAAAGGAGCTGGAATATAAAAGGAAGGAAGTGATACTTCTAACAGGGAGAGCTTTGATGTGATCCCATCTCGTACACTTTGTTAAGTTTTGATACCTCACTCGAAAGGATATGCTGGCCTTGGAAGTGGTTTTCGCAAATATTCAGCGAAATTAAACTCATTTAAAATGGTTAGATTTTATCTCAAAGTTGCATAAACCTTGTTTAAATGACAATAGAGGTTAGAAAATTAAGACGCAACATTATTGATTTTTTAAAATGGCAAAATATTCAGTGGTTTGGATACAGGGAATTCATTCTCTCTGATATAGAAAAACGAACAAGGAAGCACAATTTTAAAATCAGAACTGGACCAAAAACAAGAAAACACTATCACAGAACTCGTGGAAAATCTGGAATGCTTTACTCCAACAGACTCCAGATGCTGGGCATATTGAAATGTTAAAACTGAGATTTTTACGGGAAATGATTTACCCCGAAGAGTGCACAGATATTTGCTAAGCTGATTGAGTGATCCAATGACCTGCTCATGTTTGATTGTAGGGAAAAAAAACACAAGTATTAATTTTGCCACTCTACAAGTCATGAATTATATAGGATGTTACCTTCTCTCTCTTTCTTTTTTAACCTTTTTCTCCTCCTGTCTATGGATGCTACTTCAGATTTCAAAGACATGTAATATTTTCTGATCTCCTGTAATTTATCTTGTAGGAAAGCTATTCGTTCAGCAGTTGTCAGGTTGTTAAGGTCAGCTGTTGAAAAGAAATGGAATTAAATCTGCACATTTTAAAAAAAAGTTCCCAAATACATGGCAATAAACAGGCATGGATTTCAATTGTATATTATTCATTGTTCTTTATTAACATAAAATTTTCAATTCCATCTCCAGGAAAAAAACTTAATGGCCAATGTTTGATGCCTTTCTTTATCCATGCGAAATTGCACCCATTACGCTGGGTCAGTTCTGTGTTTATTAACACAGGGATAAATGTAAAATTATTCATTTTTAGTTTCAAAACTAATTCATTTCACAATTGTAATATAAGTACACCATTGGACACAGAAATTAAGACTATGTGAGTGAATTTGAGACAGATTGTAATACATTGAATAGGGATGAATAGATGAATCCTTTCATTAGGCTAATGAGCAAAAACCAAACTATCACAGGTGCTGCATCTAAAAAAAAGTGCTACAAAAAAAAAATCAGTAGGTCACACAGCATCTGTGAAGAACTAAAAGATTTACTCAAACTAGTCAGTAATCATTGCAGGAGATCTACTAGACTTGTGAATGTTGCAAACAACTAACATGAGGTACAGGTACATTGTTCTAACTGACCAATGAAAGATATGGAAGAACAACAACAACACAATTATTGTTCAATTTCCATGGTCCGAATAAACTGTAGGAATACTGGAGGAATGGGTCACATGACTTCCATTAACAAATCGCATTTATAAAAAGAAAAATGGTCAGAACTTGCCAGATTGTTCAGAACACAAAAAAATCAATGTTTTTTCTTTTGGCATCGGTTACGAGGTAGGTTAATTTCAAGCATCAGCATCGTATGTAAAGCTGCATCTCTGAAGCATTTTTTTCAAAATTACAAACATACAGCACCTTGCCAGTACAACAACCTTCAAGTTACTATACACACCTCCCAAAAAAAATTTCACTTGCAACTGGCCAGGTGTTGCCATCATAAGAGAAGAGGAACATTATTGATTCTGGCAAATCCTAATGGACCAATGATTGTTGTTACTCAGAACAACAGAAGTGCTTGTCAGGTGAATTCTTCCAGGGTGAATGAGTTTAAATAATATTAAGTTAAGAGGGGAGGGCCTTTCAGCAAACTGGGATGCAAGTCTTCCAAAACCAGGTGATTTCTTCATTCTGTGCAGAGTCAGTTATTCCAGTACTTCTGCTTCTGAATTTTCACAATATTCATTACCTCTACCATTCTGCTTCCACTAATAATTTGACAGATTGTATCAATGTTTATCAAGGAAAAGCAAAGTACTTGATAATCTATCTGCCTTGTTCTGGATCTTTGAGCTTCTTCTAACAGGATCTATGCTACTTCCCACAACCAGTGTATTATTTACATATTGGTAAGTGACTTTTGGGATCCCCTTTATATTGACAGTCATTTTATTCTCATAATTATCTCCACGAGTCTTAATTTCTTCTTCACCTCCCCCCCTTAATATATTTAATCTCATTTTCCCTGAAAAAATTCACCTGACAAGCATCATACACTTTTTTTACTGTTTCATTCTATTCTCTATCTCCTTTGTCATTCAATGAGCTCTGTATTTGGTTCTCCTTCCTGTCAGCCTTCTTTCAATTAAGAAACTCTACTTAAGGTTGTTCCTTCCCTTCTGTATTACATGTCAAAACCTTACATGATCCTCATTCTTACCCATGTCCATTTGGCCCATCTCATTCCAGCATCAATGAAAAAAAGCTTTCCCACCTCTGTTCAATTAATGCCTATCCTCCAAATATAGCAATAGCAAACAATGATAATTTGTACATACAGATTTTTAACGCACAGCAAATCACAGATGCGAATCAAGGACAGTCCAGACCATGTTCATCACGGGCAGTCAACTTTATTGGTCAATTATCACCAACTATTTGCCATTTGACTGAAGTCAAACCAATTTAACAGGCTGGCTAATTCAAGCATCCACTGTTCAGACTTATTGTCTTACATACATTAACATAATTTAGAATCAAATATTCCGCTAGATTTGTTTAAGTTTGCCATAAAAGTTGTGGTCATTGTGAAGGCAGAGATCTCTAGATCTGTCAGCTGTCCAGTTATAAGTCATACTATAAATTTTTTTACTGACATCCCTTTAATTAACAAACACAATTTAATCCTTCAATACTCCAACATGAAGAGTGCAGCATCTAACACCAAAGAAAACAACGTGACAAGAGTCGGAATCTACTAAGCAAGGGGCGGCATGATGGCTCAGTGGTTAGCACTGCTGCCTCAGAGCGCAGATGGGATGCTCATCAGAGAGTCAGTGTGGACTTCTTGAGCCGGATGATCTGTTTCCACACTGTAGGGATTCTATGATTCTAAGTAGACAAACATTCACGTTTGGAACAAGAATGAGCCAATCAGCCCCTTCAGCCTGCTCCATCATTCAAAAAAGATCATGGCTGATCTGATTGTAACTTTAAGCCTACATTCCTAACTCCCTTGATTACCTTTCATCCCCTTGCTTACCAAGATTGAATCTATCTCTGCCTTAAAAATCATCAGAGACTTCCTTTCTCAAAAGACAGTGGAAGTAGACTTCCAAAGATACAACGCCCTCTAAGAAAAAAAAACTTTGCCTCACCTCTATCTCAAATGGGCAATGCCTTAGTTTAAAGCAGTGACTCCTCATTCTAGATTTTCACAAGAGGAAATATATTCTCCACATCTAGCCTTGTCAGGAACCCATAGGATCTCATATTTCAAACAAGTCACCTCTTATTCTTCTAAGCTCCAACAGATACAAGCTGAGCCTATCCGACGTTTCCTGATAAGACATCCTGTCCTTTCTCGGTATTAAACAAATAAGCCTTCTCTCAACTGCTCCAAAACATCCTTCTTTAAATTAAGTGACCCATGCTTTACCCAGTACTTGATATAATGGAAGCATAACCTCCTTACTTTTGTATTTCATTCCTCAAGAAATGATAACATTCAATTAGCTATCCTAACTACTTGCTGCACCTGCATAATAGTCTTTTGTGATTCATGCACTCAGATACTCAGACCCTCCTGCAATCTTGAAAACTGAGCCAGCAGAAAAGATTCAAGAACATGAGTACTGAGTCAGAGGTTTTTGTGTCTCACCTAAAAACTCATGCACAAGAAATCCAGATACATCTAATGCCAGGTGGTCCACATTAACAGCAATCCATTCATTTTAACTGGTGGAGACGTCAATTGACCAAAAGAAAATACAATAAACTAAGAAGATTTACTTCAAATTCCCACTTCACCCTCTCATATCAACTGAAATAACAACTTGAATAGTAATACAATGTTTTCTTACTGAGCTGAAAACTCCATTTATATGTCCTAGGAGATGCACCATCAGTTCCATCTTTCTCCTTATCCTTTTCCCCATCTTTACTATTTGGAGAAGTTCTTGAAGGAGACCTGCCAAGTTTTTGAGACTTATTTGAGCTCTTCACTGGAGTGCATTTATTGGAGTTTTCCGTGACTGCAAGATCCTCACTGTCACTGCTATTGCCTTTTTCAAAAAAGAATCAGAATTAAAAATGTTCAATTATTTAGAAAACACAAAACTTTGCTTTTAAGTTCTGGCTTCAGAGCCTACCAGTTCCATTTTTATCAGTCTTATTGGACACATTTGATCGCTTGTGGCTACGCTTTTGTTTCTTTGCTGGTGTCCCATTGCTGCTGTCACTTATTCGTTTCTGACCTACATAAAAGTAAAAACAAATTAATGCATATATAAACCAGGCCACTGCAAATCAACTGTGCTATTGGTAACTGAGATTGTAGTTATTAAAGACCCAACAGATTTTTACATAAATATCAACATGTTCATGCCGATAATTATAAATCTTACTTTGAAGACATGGTATAAATCAAGGTCAATTCCAGATGGTCTTCAGAGTTGCTATCAGCGGATTTTGTTTCTAAAAGTGTGCATTATTATTTAATTAATTAATTCAAAGTGTTTGATCAAAATTTTAAATCTCACCTGAATTCGACTTGGATCATTCCTAACATACCCAATAAAAGTCAAATTGTACTCTCCTAGCTTGGAAGGCCATACGAAAATAAATCATTTTAAAAATTAATCTTTTGTTTTTTTGTTTAAGTCTTGTTTATCAGTCCAATTAAACTATTCTCCTGAATGCATTCTAATGGTGCTATTGTTACCTATAAAAGCTGGCAATGATTTGACCACTTGGCTGCCCAAGGGTTTGAAAGGAAGTGGCCGCAGAGACAGTGGAGGCAATCATCAAAAAATCCAGAATCTGTTGGATTCCAGGAGGGTTCCAATGGATTGGAAAACTGTTAATGTGATGCCCTATTCAGGAAGGGAGGGAGATAGAAAGCTGGAAAATACAGGCAAGTTAGCCTAACATCTGTTGTTGGGAAAATAGTAGAGTCTATTATTACAGAAAAAATAGCATGACATTTAGGAAAGCTTAATGAAATCAAACAAAATTAATGTGGTTTGTAAAAGGATAACCACGTTTGACAAATTTGCTAAGAGTTCTCTGAGGATAATGACAAGCAGAATTGGTAAAGCGGATTCAGCAGATGTAATGTATTTAGATCTCCAGAAGGCATACGATAAGCTTTTGAGAAGATTTGTAGCATGAGTTGTGCATAAGGTTGTAGACTTGCTCGCTGAGTCGGTGTGTTTGATTGCAGACATTTCGTCACCCTGCTCGATAACATCGTCACTGCGCCTCCGGTGAATCATCGGTGTTCTGTCCCGCTTGTTATTTTTTGTCTCGGTTTGCTGGGGTGGTTGGCATCACTTCCGGTTCTGTTTTTCAGTGGTTTGTATATCAGGGCCAGTTCAATGTGCTAATTGATGGAGTTCTGGCTGGGATGCCAGGCCTCCAGGAATTCCCTGCCATGTTATCTGTTTGGCTTGTGCTATAATGGAGGTGTTGTCCCAGTCAAACTTGTGTCCCTCTTTGTCTGTGTGAACTGAGACCAGTGAGAATTGGTCGTGTCTCTTGGTGGCTAGTTGGTGTTCATGTATCCTTGTTGTCAGTTTTCTTCCAGTTTGGCCTATGTAACATTTCTCACAGTCCTTGCATGGTATTTTGTAAATTACATTAGTTTTATTGATTGTGGGTATGGGATCCTTGACGTTAGTCAGTAGCTTTCGCAGGATGATTGTTGGTTTGTGGGCTACCCTGATACCTAGGGGTCTGAGTAGTCTTGTGGTCATCTCTGATGTACGGTAGGGTGACTAGTGTGTCTGGCCACATTATGTCACCTTGTTGTGATCTGTCATGGAGGTAAAGTTTGTTACCTCCACGACAGACCACAACAAGAAGATACAACACGGCCAGACATGCTAGTCACCCTACGTTACATCAGAGACATATCAGAGATGGACACCAACAATAATGGAGGGGTCAGAGACTGTAATGCATCCAAATTTGTTGTTGATACAAAAATAGGTGGGATAGCATGTTGTGATGAGGATAGAAGAAATCTACAGAGAGACGTAGATAGTGAGTGAGTGGGCAACAACTTCAAGATAGTGTTTAATGTAGGAAATTGTGAGGTTATACAGTTTGGTAGGAAGAATCAAAAGGCAGACTATTATTTAAATGAAGAAAAATCCAGAAAAGTTCCACGCAGAGGGATCTGGGTATTCTTGTGCACGAAACACAAAACATTAGCACACAGGTCGAACAATTAAGAAGAAACATGAAATTTTGGCCTCTATTGCTTAGATACTGTAGTGTCTAAGAAATTTACATTTTCGCAGTGTTGCAGCTTTAAGTTTAATAGATGATTCATTACTGAGAATATTTATGATTTTTTTCTAATTCTGCTCCCATGTAACTTCAAAACCCCTTGTCATCACAAATCAGAAGATATTGTTAATACATGAAAGCGTCACCTAATGAATTAGTGAGAATGAAAATGCAGTCCCAGAAAATCATAAGTAGCCCTCAAGTAAATCTCAAAAGGAGTCCTCAAAAAACACATTTCACATTCAGCGTGTGGCACAGAGACCAGTGAAAGGCAACATAAAAAGTGCCCCCAACAAAATTTGAAACAGACTATCCAAGTGATCAAATACTTCAGAATTCATCCCATAGTTGGAACAATGTTCCTTTTGTAATTACCCACCTTTTTCCTTGGTCTCAACTTCTTGCACGACAATGCTGCTGCTCGAGCTCGTACTGGCATCAAACCCATTGGCAGACTCACTCTCACACAATCCTTCCTGTGATTCACCAGCAACGCTGTCCACCTCAATGGTGATGTCACTTTCACTTTTTACACTACGAACCTCATCCTGATGAAGCAGTGCTGGGGAAGCAACTGGCAAAACCTGCTGCACTACAGATACAACAGCAATAACTGATTCAGGGGAATTGGATGCAAAAGTTCCAGCATGTAAAGCTTCACTGCTACTTTTTTCTTTTTCATCAAAGTCATCTAAATCTACTTCATGGCAAACTAAAGCTTCTGGTCCAATTGGAGGCATTATATCTTCATCGGTTTTCAATGAAATATCCTCTTCGACTTCTAAACAGGGAGCTTCCATTTCCTGTTTCACACATTGGTCTGTCGCAATCTCTAAGGAAGAAGCTTCACCATTTTCAAGTTCTAGCCTTTCAACAGTTTTAGATTCTTTACACTCATCTGCAAAGTACTCTATTTTCTCAATACCTTCATCTTTTACAGTTCGTAGTTTGTCTTCATTTTCTATCCGCAGTCTTTTATCAGGTGTTAACTTCTCCGGAGATTTTCTTTTTCCTAGCTTCTTCTCATCATTTGTAAGTTCATTTAACAAGCTTGTATCTATGGCTGGAATGGTTTCTTCAGGCACACTAGGGCCAGATAGCTGCTTGATCTCTGAGTTTTCTAATTTTTCCATGTCTTCTCCACCTTCAGCAACTACGTGATTAGCAAGAACAGACTTGGTATTGTCTGAATACACATCTCGTGTCCTATTCCTTCTTCCTTTCCCCTTTGGAGACTTGTCAACGATCTCTTTCCATATATCTTCAGCCTGTGTCATCATTTTCTCGTTATCAGTTTGTTCTATGCTTTCTGCTTCCTGTTTTACTGGTGTAGTTTTTAAACCATCCTCGCATGGTTGTACCCTCAGTTCTTGCAGACAAGAATCTTGGAGTTTTCTCCCCTCAGGTTTTTCTTCTTCATCTAATTTCTTTGTGGAAACAACTTCCTCTTTCACAGACTTATCTGCTGCAGTTTCTACTTCACTTTCATCTGAAGAACTGGTAGACCCTATAATGAAACATGATTTAATTCCAAATTAAATATTTAGATTGAAGTGAAAACAAAAATGCAACATTACTATATGCATTTCAACTAGTATCTTATCTTAGAACATACAGAAAACAATGGAGGATGCAGAGTTAGAGGACGAGCAGATAGCTAACATTAAACCTATATTTATACAGAGGGATGGAATATGTCTCTGTCATAATAGAACCTACTTAACTTCAGTGGTAGGATATATCATGCAATCACTACTAAAGACTAGAAGAAAATTTAGAAATTAGAAATATTATAATAGCGAGCATGAAGTTCAAAAGCAAAATCTTGCTCAACCAACATATTAGAATCTTGAGGAGGTGACAAAGAGAGTATACCATAGTGATGCAGCAGATGTAACTTATCTAGATTTTCAAATAGTCTACTTTATACATCAACAGCTAATGAATAAGAATAGAGTATGCAAAGTCAGGGACAAGTTGCAGAATGGATTGGTAACTTGCTTCAGTACAGAAAGCAAACAGTGGGAGTAAAAAGTAGCTATTCAAAATTGTAGATGATGGTGGTCACAGTGCTGTCCCACAAGGATCATGCTCAAGCTACTGCTGTTCATAATTTACATGAATGATCTGGACTTCAGATTCAAAATACAATGTCTAAATTTCCAGATTACACCAAATCGGAGGCGATAGTCAATCTGGAGGAAGAGGAGGACTGTAATACATTACACAAGCACATTCTAAAATAGCAAAATGGGCAAGTAATTGACAAATTAAGTTCGATAAAGAAAAATGTGAAGTGATAACTGAAAGTTGCAATTGTCCCAGAAGACCATAGAACTCCCTCATACTTCAGTACAAACCCAGATTATGAGCTCAATTCTCTGAAGTGGGAACTTGTCTTTTGTATTCACCCTCCAAATTCACCCTGCCCCCTCTCTGGCTTCTGTTAAAATGCTGAACAAAAAACTCATTTCTTCAAAAATGTTTTTGGTTACCTTTCCTCAACCATCTCTTTCAGTGTGGCACAGGGAACATTTTCTCATATTACAAGGAAACGCAAATTATTATTTTGTTTCTGCTTCTTGAAAGCACCATTGATGACCCCTTCCATCACTTTACTACTTGTCAGGAACAGACTAATGGGGCAGTAATTGGCTGCATTAGATTTGTCCTGCATTTTGCTTACAGAATGTTTCTGGACAATGTTCCACATTTTCAGCTAGATACCAGTGTTCTAGCTTGAACTTCCTGCATCAGTGTTTTTGCTGTTGTTGCTGTTTTTGGGCCAAACTGATGGAGATAGTAGATTGGATTAGGCAATGTTAGGTCTTGCAATCATCAACTCCTGTCAAGGCATGGGTGATGTGGTCCCTCATTTGGATAGTGATGTGGTCAAGCAGATTCCAAAGTCCAGAGCAAAGGTGTTGCCACAAAATCTTTCATCTCTGTGCCATGTTATGTTGTGTCTATTATGGCCAGGTCAAACTCTGGGGCATTTCATCAGGAAGAGGACTCCTTGTTGTTTACCTTCCCAATGCATTCCTTGCCCTCACTTCTTTCCCGACAGTCTCCCCACACCCCTCCAAACTTGGCATTAAAATTACCAAGGAGAATAAGCTTGTCTCCCTTTGGGACATGGCACAATGACTGATCAAGGCTGAAGTAGAATTCCTTTCTGGCCTTATCCATTGTTTCTAGGGTTGGAGCATACGTACCGATGACTGAGGTGTAGTTTCTGGATGAAGTGAGCCGAAGTGTCATGAGCTTACTTACCCAGTAGGATGGACTCACTGAAACAGTTAACTAGCTTGTTTCTTTATAGTGAAATCAATGCCATGGAGCATTGGTGCTCAGATTTACCCTTCCCTAGCATGTAACTGTCACCATGTTTTCGTGTTGACGTTCTCCTGCTCATTGTGTCTCCATCAGGGCAATGAAATCAATGTCATAGTGTTGTGGTTTATGAGCTATGGTTGCACTGTATCTGTCAGGTTTTTAGCTGCTGGAGTTGTTCTTGAGGGTCCGGATTTCCAGGTCCCAAATTTCATTTTGAGGGGTTGAAGGGGCCTGGGTATGGGATCTTTAACTATAAAGTTACTGTTGCACACAGATTGTAACACAGTTCGACCAAGGTCTTTATCCAGCAACAGGCTTCACTGCACAGATGAGGATTAAAAGACAATGTTGTTACTCTTAAATCACCCTATCTTAGGAGCCCACAGTACTGTTTCGACTGTGGGTTGTTATTGAAGCAGACTGGGTGCTCCACATCAATAATTGGAGCAAGGCCAACAGTGGTGAGGAAGCAGAGGGATGGATTGGACCAGCTGTGGGGATAAAGGCAGGACAGATGTAGTGAGAGAGCAGCAGGTGCCGCCACCACCATCAGGAGCTAACGCAACGTATGAGGTCACAGGGACGCAGGTAGGTAAATGGTCAAATCAAAAGTGCGATGGGAAAGTTGGAGCCTTTCTATCCATGACATCATTGATGAAGGGAAGCCCAAGAGCTTGAATTGTGATATTAAGAGTGCACATCAGGCATGGAAGGGAGGATTTGTTTGTCCGTTTGTGAAGAATGTGGCTTGCTGTAGCAGCAGGTTTTGCTGTTTTTGCAGGAACTGGTTGCTGGACTCACTATGTTCCTGCTGCATCCAACCCACTGCGGGCATTGCTGCATCCCTGCTGCATCTGTCTCACCTTTGTTCCTACTTCCTGTCTTGCTCCAACCATTTGCTCCCTTGTTGTGTTCCCACTGCCTTTGTCCCACTTTTCTCCATACTTCTAGCTTTGCTTCCTCCATTTGCATCTATCCCACCTTTATCCTCACTGCTGGTCTCACTACGTCCCTCATGGCTCCAAGAAGACAGCCATCACAATTCAAATATTCAATTCATGAAAAAAAAGAAAATCACTTTTATTAATGAATCTACCTGGTTCACGAATGTCCTTTAGGGAAGAAAACCTGTTGTCCTTGCCTGTCCATACTACCTGTGACACCAGACCCACAGCAATCTAGGCAACGCTAAACTGCCCTCTGAAGTGGCTGAGAGAATCAATTCAGTTCAATGACTACTAGGAATGGCAATAAATGCTAGCCTTGTCAGTAGTGCCCACATCGCATAGATGAAAAAAAACACAGTTGAAGCCCAGCTACAATGGATTTGACACACGCCAGATTGCAAACCTCTACTCAGTATCTTCTTGCGAAAGTTTTGTTCTTTAACTTCTGAGTTCAGCGTTGAGCTCAGTGCTGACAGTAAACTAGTTTTATTCCAACATCCTTCCTCAAGTAACAGAAAAAATTGGCCACTACTTAAGCTGGGCGTGGGAGAGTTAATTAGATTTCACTTGCAATTATTGATTCAGTAAAACCCTTCTTGGACAATGGAAGTATTTATCTTAAACAACATTATTCAAAATCAAACCTTTCATCATCTAGATCAGTGATGCTAGATCATTTTCACAAGCATTCATTGAGTCCCAAGTTTCTGTTCCTTTAACTAAAATGAAGTCAGTGAAATGTCACTCAATGTGCTATAAATAAAAAAAGCAATCTTAGCACAGTTCAGAGAAACAGAATGGAAGTAAAAATTAAAACTTTCTCTAAGATACAAGTATCATTTCATAGCAAGCACCAATGAAAATGATGATAAGCAAACAATTTAGTTTATAATTACCACATAGAAATGGTAATTTTAACTCGTTTACAGTTGACCGGAAGTGTGAGCAGGCAGGTCATCAGTTATAATATGGTTTAACCTTTTGGGCCCCAAACTTTGCATTATAATGGACACTCACTGTATAGTAATGCAATACAAATAGCATACAAAGCTACAGGCAGATGAAGAACTCGGTGGTTTGAAGTACTCGGTGTTTTAATTCCTTTCTTTCATGGGAAAAGAGTCTGTGATATTACACATAGCAACCTGTTCTCATCAGCTGTCAGTCCTTCAACCTAGGATTCTCACAATCATCTGGTAAACTCATAGGTCAGAAACATATGACAAAAATAACCTGTGAGCCCATATGTATTAGCAAATCTCAGGAGTCGAGGGCAAGGTGATGCAACTTAAAATCAGAAGTGGACTATTCAGAACAGTAATTAAGAAACATCTCTTCATGCAAAGGGTGGTAGGATTAACAAACACTTTTGTACAAAATGCAGTGGACACTAGCTTAATTAATCACGTAAAATTGAAGACTGGTCAATAGTTACAAGCTCAGGACACAAAAGGAGGACAGAGCAAAGGAAGCTGAATGAAGATACAGATCAGCCATATTTTCACAGAGACATCAGACTCAAGAGGCTGGCTGAATGGCTCTGGTTCTTGTGAAAACCTAGTTATTATCATTTGTGTTTCAAATTCATCCTGAAGAAATGTGGTGCAAATTTGGGAAATGAACATGAGCAGCCCATAATAAAAATCATAACTGGGACAGATGTTGGTCATCTAATTTACTGGTATACAAGATAACTAATAGTTCAAGTTAATAGCTAATTATCTGTACCATTTGACAATTTGTCGGAATCATACATCCCAGAGCTACGCCTGGTGCGCCTTCGAGGAAGACCTGAAAGAAGCAAACATCAAAAGTTAAGCCTTTAGCAAACATATACATTTGATTAAAATGTACATGAACCTAAAAGACCAAAGTATGTTTACCAATTAAAAAACAAACTAGGATGAGAAATCAATTCAATGCAACTTCAAAATTACACAGTATTATTTAACAGCAGATTCCCAAAAAGTCAAACATTTGTACCATGCAATTTTACATTTGGAGTTGTAACTATTTGCATATTAGAGATGAATGATTTTGCAAGCATAAGGTTAAAATCAGAGCCTATAAACCATAGTGCAATGGTTCTGTGGATACAATATGGTATAACACCTATTATCAAACATATTACTCAAAACCAAGGAGCAAAAAAAAAAGCAGTAAAATGCAACATACAATTGCATACCTTCTACTCCATTGAGAAGAGGGGAGGAATCAGATGTATTATTCCTCATATTCCTTGTTCCACATTTCCCCTCATTACCTGGAGTTCTGGATAAACTACGCTGAGAATTGGTGGTTGGTGGAGACTTCAGACTAGGACGCCCACGTTTTGATTTACTTTGTTTGTCATCATCTTTCTTTTCATGATCTTGTTTATTCTGCATTTTGAAAATATTGAAATTACTACCTCCAGAATAACTTTCAGTTGTATTGTGCTTTTTACACAGTAAAATATTCCAAAATCTGACATCAAGTCACAAATGAAAATGCTAGGAAAGGTGACTAAAAGCTTTCTGAAAAAGACAGTTTTTATGGGACACCCTGAAGGAGACAGAGACAGGAAGGAATTTCACAGCTTAGGACTTTGACAGCTGAAGGCACAGTCACCAACAGTGGAGGGATATGTCCGTAGGATGTGTACAACACCAGAATGATAAGAGTGCAGAAATCTCAAAAATGTTGAGCTGGAGGTCATGAGCCCAAAAAAGGCTAAAAGCTTTAAATTTGGAATGCTGGAGAACCAGGAACCAATGCAGATCAATGAGTAAACAGGATTTGGTGCATTCGTTTAAAAGGCATCATATTTTAGTATCCAAAGAATCAAATGAAGGAAGTACATGAAACCAAGTCACTTGATTTGAAAATACACAGAAGTGAAAGTCTATCTGCAATACATAGTATTTACAGCAATCCAAGAAGGCATTCTACTCAACATGTGTATGCCATTGTTTAAAAACTAACTCCCACCTTTCGTCATGTCATCCATTATCTGGATTTGCCTATAATTTGCCTATGCTAGCTACCTCAATGACTCTTTGTTGCAGTGACTTCTATAATCTACCCTGGATTCTTTTTAAATACTTCAAGAGATTTTTTAAGAAGTGAACAATGAGAAAGTTTAATTATGAATGGAATTTTAAGCCACAGAATCGTTACTGCATGGAAAGAGACCATTTGGCCCATTAGGCCTGCATGAGCTTTTTAAACCCCATTATTGCCAATCTCCTGCTTTTTCCCCAATAATTTTACACACTATTTCTATTCAAACAATCATATGACACCCTCTTAAATGCCTCATTGAAGCTGCCTCCACCACAGTTCCATTCTTTGCGTTCCATACACTGATTACTAGCTCTGTGGAAAAGTTCTTTTTCTCACATTGCCCTTACTTCTTTTGCTTTAATACTTTAAATCCATGCCCTCTTGTTCATCCTCGTTTCACAAGGGGGAACATCTTCTTCCCATTTACTCTATCCACCCCACTTTCAAATCTCCTCTCCGCTTTCTTCTCTCTAGATAGAACAGCCCCAACTTCTTCAATCTATATTCGCCACTGAAGTTTCTCATTCCTGAAATCATATTTGTAAATCATTTCTGAACTCTCTGTAATATGTTCACATCTTTCCTATGTGGTTTCCTCAACTATACAGAACACTCCCGATGAGGTCTAACAAGTATCTTTGCACAAGTTCAACCATACCTCCTTGCTTATATATTCCATGGTCCTGTCAATAAATAAACGTATGCTTCATTAACTACTCTCTCCATGTGTCCTGATACCTTCAATGAGCTGTCCACATATGTACCTGCTCCTGCATGCCCTGTTGAATTGTATCCCGTATTTTATATCTTTCAACGTTCTTCTTACCGAAGTACATGATTGCCTTTGGCGAATGAGGGGATGAGGATTATTTATGGGAGTACTTTTCTCAGTTGTCAGTGGTTGCCAGTGTTCTTCCAGTAGGGCTTTTAGAATAACTTAAGAAGGCATACATAAGACCACAAGATAAACGAGCAGAATTAGGCCATTCAGCCCATTGAGTCTGCACCAAAATTCGATCATGGTTAATATGTTTCTCAAGCCCATTCTCTCACCCACTCCCCATAAACTTTGATCCCTTTACCACTCAAGAACCAATCTATCTCTGCCTTAAATACACTCAATGACTTGGCCTCTACAGCCTTCTGTGGCAATGTATTCCACAGATTTGCCATCATCTGGCTGAAGAAAGTCCCCCTCATCTCAGTTCTAAAGGGTCATCTCTTCTTTGAGGCTGTGCATAGTCTCTCCTACTAGTAGAAACATCTCCTCCATGTCTAGTCTATCCAATCCTCTCAGTATCATGTAAGTTCCAATAAGACGCCCTCCTCCCCTTTCTAAATTTTATCAAGTACATACCCAGAGTCCTCAGCCTCTCCTCATATGACAAGCCCTTCTTGCAAACCTCCCCTGGATCCTACAAAGACAACTTTGCTTAAATATGGGGCGCAAAACTTCTGACAATGTTCCAAAAGTGGTATGACCAGAGTTTTACACAGCCTCAGCAATGCATCCCTGTTTTTGCATCCTAGCCTTCTTGAAATGACCATTAATACTGTATTTGCTTTCCTAACTGCCAACTGAGCCCGCACGTTAACTTTAAGAGAATCCTCAAGTAGGACTCCTAAGTCCCTTTGTGCTTCGGCTTTTTCCCATGTATAAAATAGTCTAAGTCTCTATTCTTGCTACCCAAGTGCATAACCTCACACTTTCCCACATTGTATTCCATCTGCCGTTTCTTTGCCTACTCTCCTAGCCTGTCCGAGTCTTTCTACAGCCTCTCCACTTCCTCAACACTATATGTCCCTCCACCTATCTTTAGGTCATCTGCAAACTTAGCACAATGCCTCATGACCTCACTTTAACATCTTATCTGAAAACTAACACCTTAGCAACAAGTACTTCCTCAGGTGTTAAGATTAATAATGTAAGCTAGGCTGACAAAGTTTTAATTGGGCTTGAACCCACAATCTTTTATTGGACTAGGACTGGAGCAGTGGAGTGAAAAAATGTGGCATAAACTGAGGATTAATTGTTTTTGAATAAAAGCATATATAAACAAATCAAATGGTCTCTTCAGTGCATGTTTTCTGCTATATTCTTAATCCTTCTGGTAGTGTATACAGTTGTGGCACACATTGTAGGAAAGATGCAAATACATTGGACAGAATGAAGAAGCAACTTATAAATTGGTGCCTAGAATAAGAAACTTCAGTTTATGAGGATAAATTGAAGAAGTCACACTGTTCTCCTTGGAAAGAAGGTCAAAAGGAGATTTAATTGAGGTTTTTAAAGTCATGAGCAGAGTAGATAGGGAGAAGCTGTTCCTGTTCATAAAAGAAAAGAGAATGAAAGAGCATAAATTTAAAGTGACGTGCAAAAGAAACAAATATGATGTAAGAAAAAGCTTTTTCACATTCCAAGTTATTAGTATTGCCTGCACACGTGGTGGAGGTAGGTTCACTGAGCATAGAATTGGTGTGCAGGGATATGGGGAAAAGACAGGCGATTTGCAATAGATAATTGAACCAGAGTGGGCATGATGGGTCAAATGGCCTTCTGAGATGCTGTTTTTTCCAATGTCTCTAGTTGCTACACACTAGAAATTTCCACCTTCTCAATAAATTAATTTCTGAGGAGTTGAAACCTGGGCAGATCAAGTATAACCTTATTGGATGGCAGAGCAATGCTTATCCTACTCCTGCTCCTATTTCTTATACTCTTAAACAGGTCACTTTTTAATGGCTCCTCTTGAGGGCCTGGATTTCAGGGGCTACCTTTCTTGCGTGTAATATTCCTTTCTGTGTCTGTGTCGATATATAGGTTATCAAGATTCTTAGAAGTAGGATTAGAAAAATTGATCATTATCCTCAATAACTATCAATCTCATTAAACTTAACATAGAACAGTATTGCAGAGCTTAGCAGCATGCCTTTCTAAAGTCAAGACACACAAGGAAACTATTAATCTCCTGCGTAACAGTATTTAGTGTGACACAAGTAAACAGGCATAGGTTAGAAACAAAAAACAGCTGCTGCTACTTCTGCACACAGAAAGTTGTCACATTAAACACACCTTCTGCAGACTAAGGAGGTCACAGTCAGTGTTTCTATCGCATATGCGTGAAGCTAGAATATTTTAACCAGGCAGTTGCTATTCTTTCCACTGCATTTCAAATCTAGGTTTCACATTTGAAGCGAACAACTAACATATTGCTCATTACAATAATAAACTACTACATTTTACCCAGATAGCTCCTGAACATTTGCAACCTTAAACTAAAGATGCTATATTCACTTGTAATAATTCATCATCTCAGCGATTTCAAGGTTTCCTAGCTCCTACTTACCCATGTGTTTTTTTCATTGAAACTGTTCCTTCTTCTTTACAGCTTCCCTCTCTTTACCTCACCCTCTGCAGCCTCTGCTTCCCCCAGTCTCCAGATCCCTTGCAGCCTCCCTGCTACCCCCGCTCCCCGCTATTCACTTCCAGCTTACCTCCTAACCTCCCCACTCTCACTCAGTTCCCTCTCAAGCACCTCATCTTCTGGCTTCACCTAGCCTCATTTGTCCTGACTCTCTTCTGTCCCATCCTCTCAACATCCTTGCAATTTCTCCTGAATCCCTGTTGCTGTCCTCACCTAAAGCCCTTGCAGTCTCCTCACCTTCCCACATTTCCTGTGCAGTCCCCAGTTTCCCACAGTCTCCTCATTTCACCCCTCACCCACAACCACTAGCCATATTCCTCCTGCAGCCTTCTCACAATCCTCCCAGTCCCAGCAGGCAGACAGCAACCTCAGCAAAAAGATGGCTACCCAATCCTCATTCTGGTATCAACAAAAAGGTTGCTCCTGACCCCAGCCTTTGGCCCCCAATTCTGGATCTCAGCTTCTGGCACTTGCTCCTTCTACCACTCCCAATCATCATTTTCCTGATACATTCCAGCACAGGAAGCTATGTGCACTATTTGCAACTTCTCCATTCAGTTTGTTTCTCTGCTGAATTTTATTCGTGATAGCCTTTTCCTAAATCTAAGCCAAAGCAGCTTGTAATTGAAGGAGTACTTGTCAGTATTTCCTTTTATTGTTTATGGAGTGACATTTCTCCAATCAGATGCCCCAGTTAGTGAATTTCCAAGGCTGATGTGGGGATTTTGGGGCAAATTTGCTCATCACCCCTGTTTATTTTCAGTGTTGATCAGAACTGCACAAAGGACTTGTTGTCATCATGGTGTGTGATGAACCCACCAAGTTACAGCCCGTGATACAATACAATTAGTGTAGCGTCTTTTTAATTTGTCCAAACATCTGTATCTCCATCAATTTTAACTATTTCAATTCCCACATTCATCTCTACTGAAATTTGAGCAGTTTTGTCTTGAAAATCATGCCTACAAGAAAGTGGAATAAGGCTCCGTAAAAACTATTTTCTGAGAGATCAAGGGTGTAGAATTTAATCTTTGCCTGACTGTCACACTAATGAGATGTACTCCAAGGTCTTCATAGAACTCACCTAATTTTCATGTCATTATATCAAATTTTCAGTCAGTTTATTTTATGGATTTGAAAATACAGAAGTGTAACCACTTCTCAATTTAATGCTCCTACTTTGGACCAGCAATTTTATTGAGCTATAATTTAGATGTAATTCAGATTTGTAGTAGATACCATATATTTCACATGTATGTTATATATACACCTACTACGATGGAACTATTTTAAATGATTGCTTTAAATCTTTTAACTATGTCAGATTGAAAGTCTATTTGATAGAACTTGGCAGATAGTCTAGAAAGATAACATAATATGGATTAAAGGCAGGTACATATCAACTACCTATAATGTAACTGAATAGCCAAATCCTATTTTCATACTTCCCGTGAGGGAAAAGGAATAAAAGCAAAGAGCTGCAAATCATGGAGATCTGAAATAACAACAAAAGTGCCAGAGAAATTCAGCAGGTCTGGCAGTATCTGTGGTGAGAGAAACAGAACTAATGTTTCAAATCAAAATGATTCTTCTTCCAAAAATTAGTCACATGGACTCAAAGCATGAACTCTGTTCTCTTTCCTCACAGATGCTGCTAGGCTTGCCGAGTCTCTCCAGCATTTCTGTTTCTATCCCAAACACTGGAAGTTGCAATGAAAACAATACCTCCATGAGTGTTTTATTGGACAATCCCTCAAATACAAGGTAGAATGCAATTTTGCAACCATTAACAGCCATTGAACATTTGGCTTACATGGGTCATCTCCCTTGTCAACATTATTGACTTTCCTACTTTATGATGCAAACAACATGTCAAGAATTAGTGTATAAAAATCCAACTTATTTGGTACCTTTAATTTTCTTCTATGTTTTCCCTTTGGCGCGCCTCTTTCTGAAGGCCAGAGAATCCTATCACCTTTTACCCATTCATCATACCTGAAAGAAATGGGAAATCTTATGCTTTTCAAAACTTCCCAACATTTTAACCAAATGCAGCATTTAGAAATGGGCAGGTCAGAACCTTGACAAAATACTTAATGTGAAAATAATTCCATTTAAAGAAAGAATTCTATTTAAAAAAAGAAAACAATGCAGCATATCTCCAAACATGACTAAAAGCAAATATGAACAGTTGTGTTGCAAAAAAAAAATGGTCCAGATAAATCAAACCATTTACAACTAGACAATTGCTCAACGAACTCCCCAAGATAGCAACAAAGTAATTTGAAGTCAAACCATAAGCAAAGCAAGAAACCTATTCAAGTCAAAGTTTGGCATCAGAAGCTGAGATAAACAGAAGTAACATACCCCAGATCCAGCCATGTAAATTAGCTTTTTTTTGCACAGATCCCCCCTTTCCACATCTAACAAATGCATCTTTACTTTTTGCTCACGTTGGAGTTCACCCTTATCCAGTCAGACAGCATGAAAAACAACGATGCCAATAAATGCATGGGAAACGAGTTGATTTGAAAGATCAATGCAGAGAACTGCAATATTGGAAAAGGAAGACACCAACTTCCAAATTCATAGAATCATAGAACATTTCCGGCACAGGGAGAGATCATGCAGCCTGTCTATGACAGCTCTTGGCATGAGCAATTCATCAAATTCATCACAACCCATTTTCTCCTCATAGCTGTGCACATTTCTCTATTTCAAATAATGATCCAATTCCTTTTTGAAACTTTTGGCTGAACCTGCCTCCACCACAAACAGTGCATTTCACATCCCAACCAGTTGCTACTGACACTTTTGTGTCTTTTGTCAACTACCTTAAATGTGTATCCTCTGGTAGGCAATCCATTCAGGTGTGTTATGACTTACGTCTGGAGCAAGTGGGATTTGAACCCAGACCTTGTGGCTCAAAGACTGGGACATTACCACTATGCCACAACAGCTCTTCTGAACCTTAGTCTATACTTAGTCTAGTTTTCAATTGTTTATCGACCCTGATGTCTATCACACGTACACTCTTCCTGCTTCACCTTAATCTCTATCTCTTCTATCATTCAGGAAGCTCTAGACTTGCTTATCCTACCAAACCACTTTTTGTGAATGAAGCCTCACTAAAACCCAAACTAACACTTCTTTAAAAGGTAACCACTGTTCAGTTATAGTCCTATCTACAAACCTGTTTCTAATTTATCTGGGTCAGATCCATTTTTACCCTGTTGATGTTGGTTTTTCCCCTAATTAATTTTTCTTATTCTGAATTGTTCATTGTCCTTTTCCATAGTTAACCTAAACATTAAAATGATTACCAACTCCAAATCTTCCTCCAATACATGAGCCGCTTGACCCATCCTATTTCCAAGAATGAGGTGCAATAATGCCTTCTTTCTTGTTGGACTTGAAACATACTACTGTGAAAAGTTCTCTTACATGCTCTTGCAGCTCTTTGTCCTTTACATGAGTATGATCCCAGTTTACACTCATGTAATTAAAACCTCCCCATTGCTAGTATTATAACTCTTGCGCTTGTAATTTCCCTACAAATTTGTTCCTTAAACATCTTTTCCACAATTTGATGAGTGCTTAACTACACACAGCTATGTACATTTTGGACATTTTTTGGTCCTCATGTCAAGGTTAGATTGTGTCCTTGACCATTCTGACTGCAACATTCTCCTTAGTTAGGATGGGTTGGGCAACAAATGTTGGCCTCATTAACAACATTAAATCCCATCAAAGACTTTTTTTTAAAAAAAAATGCACCTTGCCTATTACCCATCCAAATCCAGAATTAAAACATGGCACCAGACAGGCCAAACACGAAAGGAAAGGTGTCCCTAGGAACCAAACAAAAACCCAAGACTGAATGTAAATGGACTACATCCATTTTTCCCTAATTAACTTGCCTGGACAAAGCTGTGGAAAAAAGCATGGTAAAATAAGTAGCCAGAATGGTCTCAATTTTCTTGAAAGCGTCCATCAAAATGATGGCCTAAATGCAGATTTTCAATGTAATAGATGGAAGAAATCTGTGAATGACATATGCCCAATTTATTTATGCAAATTATGAACAAGTTAAAAAACTCAACCAACAACTTGAGGTGCATTAGGACCTGGATTTTTTTTTTATGACCATATATTTGTGTTTCTCTTCAGTGAGATCTGAATGAACTTTCGCTTTATGGTCTCAGTGCACTAAAAATTGAAAAATAAAATAAAAATTGAAAATTGATTGCATTCATTTTTCTAACATGCTGTGCCTGATGTGTACAATGTTGATTTGATGTCTTCACAGTTTAATCATCATGTTTAAGGAGAGTCTTAATCATAGACTACATTCAGAACTTTCATTAGATGTAACTGCTTACACTTTTTTTTTTGCAATATTCCAGCAACTAATGAGTTTCTGACGGAATTGTGTAACAGTGTGACAACAGGAAAACCTGCCATTTCAGGACATTTCCTTAAAAAAATTTAGATTCCAGATAAAATGAAGCATGTACTACCTTATTTAAAAAAATAGAGAAACAGTATTACATTTTTGGATCTGTAGTACTGATGGCCATCATTTTGTACAATCAAGTTTTGTTATTTGAAATTACTTTTAAAAACAAACAGTAGCCAAACAAATAGACAGAGTCAGTACAATAACTGCAACAGTTTGTCAAGTCAACTCTTTTACCTTGTATTCCAACCATAGTAATGTACTAAATAGACAACCTCTCCATCATCAACTTCAGAGTTTCTAATATTGGCTTCATAGATTTTCTGATTCTTTCCACGTCCATATTTTACTTTAACCTTGGTTCCAGAAGGAAATCTTTCAAATTCATCATCACCTTCCTCCTCCTCCTCCTCCTCCTCCTCATCGTCTTCCTCCTCTTTATTTTCAATCTCTTCCCTTTTTAATGAGAAAAGCAAGCAATAAAGAAAAAAAATTTAAGAATTAAGAGACAGAGCTTTTAAAAAGTTTTAGAAATTATGCTAAGTTTAGTGTGGATCTTCTCTATGGCAGCATTGCTAAATGTACCATCCAAACTTGCATACTGAGCCATCTGGATCAGAAAGTGTCTAAGTTTCATCAAGGATGTGTGCAATGCAACAAGTCTCAGTATCCCGTATCATCCTCAGTGCATTTGTTTCTTAGAAAATGCATCCTATAAACACTGCCAAATCAGATGCACATGTAAATTGTAACCATCATTTGTGGGACCTAACATAAACTGGCTGCAACATTCTGTTGGCATTAAAGAAATTCGTGGCCTAAATGTTTTGGGACATTCTGAAGATGTGAAAAGTAGTAAAAATTAAAACGAAGTTTTTTTACCTTGTTTGTCTAATCACTTAAACCTTGCCTTCAGTAGATACTACTATGTATTTCCAGTTACTTTCAGCAAGAATATTCATTTAAATTCAGGGAGATTCAAGCAGCATTTTATGTTCTGTAAAGCATAAATTCTCTATCGCACGATTGCGACCCGAGCACTGTTCATAAACCACACATCTTGTTACATGGAGGTTTGTTTGTATAACACATGGTTTTTATTTACAAATTATATGCAAAATTAACAGTGCTGTATAATTAAGGCTCTTATTTTAAAAAAAAAAATGAAATACATACTTCTTTTGTATATCCTTGTGGTCCTCTTCTGCATCATCATCACCTTCATCCTCTTCCTCAGAATCTTTTTCAGACTCTTCTTTCTTGATCTTCTCTGCTCTGTTTTTGGGCGTGGACACATTTTTCAACTGTCCTGTGTCTGCCTCCTTTTCCTGTTTCTTGGAATCCTCCTTAACTTCTTTGTTTTCATTATTAGTTTCTTCATTCATCTTTTCTTTTTTTATTTCTTTGACTTCTTTTTTGGCTGGTGTTGCATTTCTCCTCCGACCCTAAAGTAAGATAGTTTAGCTAAACTCAAGCTTCAAATTAAAATTAAAATAGCAGTGTGTTTAGCAAAAATATTCAGTTTTCTATTCCAGGTGGGTACATTTTAACACAGGTCGGGACGATAAAGCTCTTCAAACATAATACTTATGTGGCATATGCTTAGGAATTATTGAAATATGCATCCTGATTATCAAGCCATTCGTACTTAATGTTTCCATATTGTTAAACACAACATTCAACAAGCAGACGTCAAGAACTCGAAAATGATTTGAAATCTCTATAAAATGTGTTATCAAGAAACTGGATTGGATAGTAGTCAGTATTGTTTGGGAATAAATATGGCAGAAAGTAACAGCATTTTTCACAATTGCTGTCATTGTAGGTTCATATTAAGCTCCTCACATTTAGAAATATAAAATACCAGTAACACATTGCAGTTGTGGTGGTGTTAGACAGAAGACATTGCTCATTACAAAAACAGGCTTATCGTCTCCCAAGATGTGATTCAAAGATCTAAATGCACAATCATATGAAGTTTTGAGTTTCTAGCAGACAAACAGATTGTTATTTCATCATTTTTCTTATTGCAATCAGTGCATTCTGTAGATTTTGTTAATTCAATCCTTTTCTACAATATCTTGAGAGTTCCTCCAGTAACCCAATGAGTAAAACCCATAAGCACTTATTCTAACAGATATTATTAACGATATACTGAATAGTGATCAGGAGATGAAACATCAAAGCAACATTTTTCTGCAAATTTCTTCGGTTCTTATGATAGGATACAAAATTTGAAAATTTACTGTGCCATTCATGCAAAATTCTATTTCAAAGGTAATTGCCTTTCAGGTCTCCAGATTACAGCTCTTGATTCAGTCAATAGGTAGTATAGAAGTATCCAATTCACAGAAACAAGAAAAATTCTTCAATTTGTTGGCCAGTTTTCAAGGAATTAACATGTCTTGATCTCTTTCCTTGATGCCATTTGTAATTTATCTTGTGTGTGCAGAATACTATTGATAGATTGTAAGTTGTGGTTTTTATCTTGCCATGTACTATGCAGCTAAATAAATTCGAAAGAGTTACCACAAGGTGGTTAGTGCTATCTAAAATATTTTAGATGAACTACTATGAATTTTCTTCTCCCTGTGGAGACTGATCAGATTAAATCCATGATCGGAAAGACAGCTTTTTTCCAGTAGCCTTTCATGAGATGTGGGCATCGCTGGCAAAGCCATATTTATTGCCCTTCCCTAACTGCCCATGAATTGAGCAATTTACGAGGCCATTTCAGAAGTCAATTAAGGGTCAACCACACTGCTGTGGATCTATGCAGGCCAGACCAGGTAGGTTTTAATGACAGTGGTTTGATAATTTTACTGAGACTAGTTTAATGTTCCAGATTTGTTAAGTGAGTTTAAATTCCGTCAGTTGCCAGTGGAATTTGAATCTATGACACCATAGTATTCGTGTTAGACTCTAGATTATTAATCCTGTGATACTGTCACTATCCCACAGCCTTCACTTAAATCCAGATCACATTAAGCAATTTCAGACAATTCACAACAATAATACCATTATACTTTCAAGCAAAATGTAAAAGGTGTGCAGCAACACCATTGTGATCTTCACTTGAAACTGTACATTAGCTGCTGATGACTCTGAAGCAATATTGATGCTGCATAGAAAATAGCAAAGAAAATTCAATGTTTAACTTTCACAATGTTCTCAAAGCACCACTGCAATTAGTTTCAAGGTAGAGAACTACTTACTCTTGGAGATCGTACTTCTTTTTCCTCTTTCTCATTTTCAGTGTCATCGCTTTTTTCATCATCTAACGTGGTAGATGCTTGCTTTGGATCACATGTCCCATTCTTTTCGTCTATCTCCACTGGTTTTCTAATAGGTTCCATATGATGAATAGTCCTGAAGCGAAGGTCAGCTGCGCGGCAGTATTCTTCAAACCCATACAAGTACCTAGGATGCAGAGAAAAAGAAATAGCAGACATCTGATGTTGCCATTCAATATAATTAGATTCAATTACACAAAAACATTGACATGTAGGAAGTCAAGAGTAATGCCTAAATTGTTTCGGAAAAAAGAAAAACCACAGTATCATCTCAACTAGCTCTGCAATACAACTTTTATTCATTTAAAAAAAATGTCTATTGACTGTTCCTGAAAATCTGGGACAAAGAAGAAATCCCATTGATCTCAGGGATGCTGCCATGGGCACCATTTTCAAGAAAGATGATGAAGTGGACTGTGAGAACTGCCAAGGAATTTACCTACTCTCCATTGCTAGGAAGATCATCAGCCAAATCCTTACTAGGCACTTTCTCCCAGTCTCTTAAGTAATCCTTCTGCAAAGCCAGTGCAATTTCCCACCAACTGTAGAACTATGGGCATGATTTTCATTACCTGACAATTCTAAGAGAAATGCTAGCGACAATATGAACAGGCTGGGAATACAGGGATACAGACCACGTGCTGGCAGATGGGATTAGTTCAGAATGGCATCAAGGTCGACGCTGAAAGGCCTGTTCCTGTGCTGTACTGTTCTATGTTTGTAGATTTTTTCAAACACCAACCACTTTACTTGGCCTTCGCTGACTCACTCAATCAGAAAGTGCTATGGATGCTGCTCTCAAAGGCTGCTGTCCAGAGAAGTTCATCGACATCCACTGTCTCCTCCACAACAAGACATCGGTGACTGTCGTCACCATTGGTAATATGTCAGAATATTTTAAGATCAAGGCAAGAGTCAAGCACCCTATCTTTCATCTTGCCAACGAGCTTTCCAGCAGTATGCTCAATATCTAGAGAATGCATGGAAAACTTTTCAACCTCAACCAGTTGAAATCCAAGAAGGGATATAATGACGAAACTGTATAAGACACCGGTGATGCCACACCGTGTGCAGTTCTGGTCACCATGTTATAGGAAGGACATAATTGTTCTGGAGAGAGTGCAGACAAGATTTAGTAGAATGTTACTAAGGCTAGAGAATTGTAGCTACATGGGGAGTTTGGGAAGGTTGGGATGGTTTTCCTTGGAACAGAAAATGCTGAGGGGTGACATGATTGAAATATACAAAATTGTGAGGGGTAGAGATAGATTAGACAGAAGGAACCTGTCCCTTGGCAGGGGTCATAGATTCAAGCGAAGTGGCAGATGGACTAGAGGGGACGCAAGGAAAAACTTCTGTACAAAGCATGTGGTGTGTGTTTGGAATTCTCCACCTGAGTTGGTGGGGAAGGCAGAGACCCTAAACTCTTTTAGGAAGTTACTGGATTTGCACCTTAGGTGCAGGAAGATGTGATTAGAAAGGGCATTTGAGTATCTTTGGGTTGGCATGAACAAGGTGGGTGGAATGGGAGTCTTCAATGCTGTATCATTTCATGGTTCTAAGCAAAAGACATTAACATCATGTGAAACTTTATTCTGCAGATTACGTCATCTCTGCTGTCCTGGAAGAGAATCTTCAAGCCTTGCTTAATGCCTTCGCAGGGGATTTGTCTCAGCCTGAACCTCAAGACGACTCTAATCCTTTACCAACCTGTCTCAGGGCAAGTTCTGGCCCATCCCTCTGTTAAGGTCAATGGAGAAATCCTCCCAAAATGTGGAACATTTCTGCTACCTGGGAGCCACCACTCATCCAAGGCTGATATCAATGTGGAAACCTAACACTGCATCCAATTCAGATGCCTAAGGATGAGAGTTTTCAAGGATTGTGACATCCATACTGATACCTTGTATATCAGGCAGTCATCCTTCCGACTTTTCTACATTGCTCCGAACCTAGGACTATGTCACTCCAAGGCTCTGGAGAACACTGTTTGAGAAGGGTTCTCTGCATTAGCTGACAGGACACGTGTACTAATATCAGCATTGCTGAAGGAGCCAATAGCACCAGCATCAAGGCCATGATCACCCAAAACCAGCCTGAGGGCCGACTGCCAAAGTATATCTTCTTTGCCCAGTTCAAGGAAGGCACTCGAACGAGAGGTTTTCAAAGACTCCTTGAAGGTTTACCTCAAGCCAATCAACATAGATAGCAATGCCTGGAAGACCTTTGCTTAGAAGAAACTGACTTGCAGGAACCTCCTTTATGAAGGGATACAATTCTTCAAGGGCACCCACTGGTCACAGAAAGTACAGGAAAGGAACCTCAGAAAGCAAGAACCAATTTCACCTCCCAAAAACAGCAAATATGTAGTTGGAGATGTGGTATTAAGATTGGGCCCATCAGCCAAGCAAGAACCCACAGAACCAGTGCCATAGAATTTCCTAGGTAGACAATCATACTTGTTAGTGAGTGATTGCAAGTGATGACACAGTAAATTAAAATTATATATTTCACTCTATGATTCTGTGGTATTAATTTCAGTCAGAGGTGGTCATCTATATGACACTTCTTTATTTTACATCCAACACAAGGAACATATGTCCAAATATTCTTAGAGCTGTATTTTTAAAAATATCTGGGATAAATTTTAAAAACTAGCAAATCTGAATAAATGATTTTTAAAAAATGTTCTTATTCGAAAGGTTGCAGCAGATTGTGATGAAATTCAGATCTATCAAGAGCAGTTTCAGGGAAAGAGACAAAATCCTTATTGGAAATACTGCAATGCTTTCAGAAGGCAACTCTTGAGTAGGCCTGGATCTGAAAGATGAGAAGGTCTTTCATTGCATTGTATCTGATTAGATCAATTGCTTTTCTGATTGAAGAGTTCCAGGATAGAAAAATTAATTGTCACCACTTGTTTTATCATGCTGATCCCAATGTCTTAGCAGAATGATAATATATTTGAAATTTGAACAAGTAAAATTTTACTTAATTTCATCAGCAACTTTAAAAAGAATAATACTTTAATCAGATACCACTAACATGCTTGCACAATGCACTGAACTTTCTACCATTTAAGTTAATGGTAAAACTGAGAAATAAGATCTTAACTGGTGGAAGTAAAATGTTGAGGGAATTTGCAAGGTCATCTGATTGGAGAAAATTGCAAAGATACGGAGGCAGAATATTATGGGAAAATTTTACAATTGAGGATGAGAGTCATGATATTGTTCGAATCCCTCCAATTAGGTCTCTATTGCTCTCACAGCACCAAACAATTTCAATGGCTGATTACGATTGCTCCCTTGAACTTGCAACACATATCACAGAATCCTCCTTCAAAGCCACTTGCTCATTGTCCAACTGTGAAACTGCCCTTGTTTGGTTCAAATTTTAACAATACAATTGCAGACAAAGCACCTTCACTGGCCACACTTTTTCACAGAATCTAAGGATCCCAACTTGGTCTTCACTTTTTGTCTATTGTTTATCCATTGGCTACATCATCCAAAGCAACGATATTAGCTTTTACAGGGATGCAGAGAGCACATCCTCAGTTGTCTCAACTGATTCAACTTCTCTGCACTTTTGGATGGCTTTTCTGACATGGAGTCTCCACCTGCTATGTAAGTTTCTTTGTTTCTGGAACCCTCATTCATACCATTTGTCACCTTAAAACTGTCTTATGTGAATGATTAGCTGGCTGACACCCCACCCCCCCTGCCCCCCGCTCCCCCATTCTCCTCCCTCTACAAATATCAGCTCATCCAAAACTGTATGTTCCCATTCAAAGTCATATTTGCCCATCACTAGCTTTCACTAGTCCATGTTGGCTCAAGGTCCACTATTCTGAATTTAAAATTTTCATTCCTATGCTCAAATTCTTCCCTGATTGCATCCTTTCACATATTTTGTAACCTCCTCTACGCCCTTCTCCATTCTTCTGTGTTCTTGTGCATTTGAAGGTTACAGTCATCTCAATACTTATCTTTGGCTGCCTAGGTTCTACTTTCTTGAATTAAACTTCCTAAATCCTCTCATCTGTCTCTCTCTCGCTTATTTTTTCAGATGTTTTGTAAAATCCATCTCTTTGGCCAAGGTTTCACCCTTTTGGCCTCTTCCTGTGTTTGACATCAAGGTTTCATATGCCTTTGACAAATTCAGGAGCATTTTTATGATCTTAAAAGTTGTAATTCATACGTGGTTCTCTGCAGCACTGAAGGTCAGGGAAAAACAAATGTCTCAATGGAGAAAAAGACAAAACCGCAGCTTTCTGGATTAGAAATATAGAAAAGAGTACACGTTTCAACCCTTAAAGCCGGCTCTGCCATTCAACTTATCATTGAGGATCATTCAACTTAAAACCCTATTCCCGGTTTCTTCCCATACACTTTAATCTTTTTAGCCCTAATAACCATATCTAACTCCTTCTTGAAAGCATTCCATGTTGTAGCCTCAAAATGCTTGCTGTGGCTGAAAATTCCACAGGCGCATCGTTCTCTGGTTGAAGAAATTTCTCATCTCAGTCCTAAATAGACTATCCCCTATCCGTGGACTGTGACTGTTTCAGTTAGTTAATGAGGTGTGCAAAAACAAATATCAGCAACAACAGAAATAGGAGGTTCCAGCCTAATGTGAATTAGGTCAAGTGATCAGGTCAAGTGAAGTAATTTTCTGGAGACAACAAAATAACTTCACTGGTCAAGATAGGAAAGTGAGCTCAGGTTCTAGCAGAGTATCTGTATGGTATCTGAGAAGGACTTAACCTATGGACCTAGCCTGAGATTTCTTGTAGATCAGGATGTAGATAGAATTTAGGGAAACAAACACAAATACTGAGTAATTGAGGAATGCTTGCTATCAAGTTCCTTTCAATATAGCTTATCTAGGATTTGCTGTCATTTAGGCAGCTGAAGATACAGGTGAAAGCCATGGGTTCGATCAAAGAGGCAGAGAGGCACAGCCAAATCTCTTTGCTGTGGTTATACAAGCAATAATTTGTTTGAATTATGCCAATCAACAATAAATGATGAACATGGACTGCATCAGGAGAGAAAAGTGTGGTATAAAAAGTGGACCACACAGGACACCTGTTTGAAGACGGTCATAAGAGGGAGGAAAAAGTAAGGGAAGCCGGAAAAAGGGAGGTGTGGACAAGGATCTCAGTGATAAGGATTATCGATGCAATTTCAGTATCTTCAAAAGGTGTGGAAACTCGAATCGAAGACATCAAACTAATTGTGATTAGCCATTCCAGATCTATAGAAAAATAATAGAAATTGGGGCAATATTATTTTTAGTCGAAAAAAAAATTCAAGCACGAGAAACACCACTGGAAGGGAAATTGCAAAGACAGATTAAGATTTAAAATGTACATACTGGTGAATGAAAAATAAAACTAGAGACTGCTGAAAATGCAAATAGAAAGTCCAATTCAAGTATATGCTGTAAATTCTTAAGGCTTGTGCTCTTTTGTTTTTTATTGGCATTGGTCCATCAAATACTCAGACAGTACTACGGAAAGACAAGCATTTCAAACAGCGAACAACTATTACTGAGCCACACATCGCAAGAGGATCCTAATGCTTCCATTATAATTATTTCCACCCCATTTACCTTGATGTTGTACTGCATCACACTTAGAAATTACGCATCAATGCCAAAGTTCAAACTGAACCTAGGAAACCAACAGAAATTGTGGGAACTGACCTAAACACAAACAGATCTACAGCTCACTTGTCTGCTATCCAATAGGAGAATATTTTGTTCATACAAAAAAAAATTAAAATTAGTCCTTAACACTTAATACAATTGAATTTCAGGTTCATTAAATCAACTGGAAGAGATGTTTTTTTTATCTACCTTCAGGTACTGCACCTCCATACTTAAAAGGGAAGCCATAGCCAGAGACAAAAGAAACAGATAATCTCATGATCTCGGAGTGCTGAATGTAAAGGGAATGAATGTTTAAGGTGTTGGATGGAGAGCCAAACAGGCTGTGTTGTCCTGGATGGTATTGAGCTACTTTAGTGTTTTTGGAGCTAGTCATCCAGGCAAATGCTTACCAAGACACACACAGCTCCATGGCACAGAAAAGTCCAAAAACACAATAAATCTATATGCCTCACACCAATCAAAACTAACAGGAATTTCCGTTGATGTTAGTCTATGATACATCACTGGCTTCTTTACATTGTGATACTTCTGGTTTACTCTCAGAAAACCTCCGAGCTTGTGCATTTTCAGAAATAGATTCCATACCAGCCTAATTATCCAAAAGAGAAGCTAGGCCAATCAGTTCAAGTAAAGGGAAAATGTTGAAATTTCCCTTGACTCAAGATCTTACTTAAGATAGAGTTATTTATTATATTCAAATTGATAGGCCTGTCAGAAGCAAAGCAAGTCGATAGCTAAGCCAGAGACTATTCAGGAGAGCTATCAGCAAGCTGCTATATCAAAATTAATACTTAGAGATGCATATAGTGCTTATTTTGCAGTTTAGCTTCTCAGACACAACTTGTCATAACTTCTATATTCCTAAGATGGACAGTTTGGCTACAGCTACAGACGAATCTAAGTCATTGCTTTTGTTCATTTATTCATCTACTGGTGTTCCTAAAAACAAAATAAAACATATTATATTATATAATATAATATTTATATTATATCGGTTATATTGAAAATAGGTTATATTGAAAATTCTTGTTTTTAAATTATTTTCTACACATGGGTTTCAATAGCAGGGCTGGCATTTTTGCCCATAACTATTTACAGTTAAGAAAGTTGTGGTGGTTGTTCTTAGTGAAGGTGTTCCCGTAATGCTACGAAGTGTGTCTCAGGATTTTGACATACCAAGAATTATGGAAAGGAGATATATGTATATAAGTCAGGACGGCATACACCTTGGGAGTAAGTAGTGTTTCCATCCACTTGTTGCTGTGGTCCTTGCAGTGATGGAGTTCACAGGTTTCTGCTGTGAAGTTTTAGCCAGTTGCTTCAGTGTATCATATAAATTGTACACCGTTAACTACACAAGACTAATTGAATATAGGGTGGACGTTTACACCTGTAGATCACAAGTTGTCAAGCAGACAGCTTTGTCCTCATCCACAATAGTGCTAAGCTTTCTGTTTGTTGCTACAGATCTTGCTATCCTGGCAAAAACAGAATACTCCTCACATCCCTGACTTGTGCCTTGTCGGTGATAGAGAGTTCTTGGGCAGGAGTCAGGAAATGAGGCACAGCATGGTCCTTTAACTTGCACCAACAGCCTTGGCACAGAAATGCTTAGTGCAGTGTGATCAAAGATATACCCCAGGATGTTAATGATGGGGATTCAATGATGGTAATGCTGCTGAATTTCATTGCGAGGCAAGTAGGTTCTCTCCTCTGAGATGGCCATTTCCTGGAACAAATGCTATTTGCCACATATCAGCACAAACTTGGATGTTATCCAAGTTGTTATATGTAGGCATATGAAACTACATTATCTAAGGAATTGCAAACAGAGGTGAACCTGATGAAAACAACAGTCAGCCACACATTGGCTGTGACCAAGATAAAGACATTGATAAAACTGCTGGAGTTGCTGAGTCTAGGACATTGACCTCAGGACTACTGCAAACATGTTCGGAGGCCAAGAAGATCAACTTCCAAAAACTAAAACCATCTTCCTTTGTGCCAGGTATGTCTCCAGTCACTAAGAGATATCGCTCCCCCCCTCCGATTACCATAGTCATAAACTTTATGGGGGCTCCTCCTTGATGTTACACTTGGTCAAATGCTGCCTTGGTGTCAAAAGCATTCACACCTCATGTCTAGAATTCAGCTCTTGTGTCCATGTTTGGGCCAAGGCTGTAAAGAGGTCTGGAACTGAATGGTCCTGGTGGAACCCAGAAAGAACATCAGTGACCAGACCATTGACGAGTAAATGCCATTTGAATGTGCTGTTGACAATTCCTACCGTTATTGTGCTGATGATCGGGAGTAGGCTAATAGGGCAGTAATTGGCCGGGTTGGATTTGTCCTGCTTTTTGTGGACAGGACATACCTGGGCAATTTCCACACTGTCGGGTAGATGCCAGTGTTGTAGCTGTACTGGAACAGCTTAGCTAGGGGTGCGGCTAGTTCTGGAGTACAGGTTTTCAGCACTACAGCCAGGATGTTGTCAGGGCCCATGGCCTTTGCTGTGTCCAGTGCACTAAGCCGTTTCTTGATGTCACGTGCAGTGAATCGAATTGGCTGAAGACTGGCATCTGTGATGGTAGGGACCTCAGGAGGAGGTTGAGAAGGATCATCCACTTGGCACTTCTGTCTGAAGATGGTTGGAAACACTTCAGGCTGTAAAGCGCTTTGGGACATCTGGAGACATAAAAGATGCTATATAAATGCACATTGTTTCTAATAAAATGTTTAGCATTTATAGACAATGCCATGGTCTAGTTATTCAACTTCCTTTTTAAGTTAAGGAAGATCCCCTGGGTTCATTACAAATTGGTGAGCAAAAGCACATTCTTGAATCATAGTGAGTATGGGTTGACCTAATGGAGTATCTTGATAAACTAAACACAAGACAAAACTCTTGACTAGAAGAAACCGATTACTCCTGTGTTCTTATTTTCTTTTCCTTTTACACGCCTGGATTATTTCATATCAGCACAATTAAAAAGTCAGCCAGTAGCAGGCAGCAGAATCTTGAGAATAGGAGAAGTTTCAAATGGCAATTCTAGCACATACTGGAAAATTCCATTGCCCTATGTTAACCTTTCATCAGATAAGAGAGTTCCCACAGGTAATTCCATATAGACATTTTTGTTTTAAAAATCTACAAAGAATCATACCAGTTATTGTACTTACCATTTATCAGCACTCACTCTGGTGACTCTTTTCTTTAAACAGATTCTTAGAATTATATACAAGTTTGTTTAATCGGAAAAGTTACCTGGTCATTTATCTTCTTCAGTCTGTCCTGGCCACACAGAGAAATGGAAAGGGTTTACACAGTCCACATTAACAAGTTGCAACTGAGAGATTGGGAAAATGTTTGAGAATCTGCAACTTGTGGTTTGGGGTGATGTTGCTCAGTGATAAATGGAGATAGTGTGTTTTATTTTGAACAAAATCCAAATGAATAAAATTCTGAATAGTTTGGTGTTTTTCAAAATATGAGTACATTGCAAAATAAATTATAGAAGCATAAGTTTCTCCTGAATTACAATACTGGCTTCAAGCATCTGCAGCCATGCCTGTCCTATTCATGGAAATGCAATGAAAGAGGATTGAAGGATAAATACAAACATGAACGTGTGAAGATTCACTGTCTTCAAGAAGATTTTAAAAGGAATCATAGCTGTCACACACCATATACACAACAAAAAAGCCAATGAGCAAATTGAATATAAATATTTAGTGTATATCAAAACTACTTACTTCTTATAAGCAGTTTTTACATTGTAAGAGGCAGCAGAGTTCAGAATTGGAATGCCAAGGTCCATGTATATTTGTTTCCACACAGAACCACTGTCAATCTACAGAAAGTAGAGTTTAGCAACTATACTTCATACAGCCAACAAGATAAAAAATACAATTGTTCATCAATGCAATTTTGTTTAGGTTTACTGTTACAAGAAGAGAGTTAACACAATAAATTCTAGTCAATGAAGAATCATCTGTCACATTGCTTTAATCATGAAATCTGGAATTGAGAATTTCCAGTTACAAAACTGCATGTGTAACTATGTTGAGAGATTTTCAAGAATGGTAGGAGCTTTATAAAGATTGTTAAAATAACATGTGTCATTAAGTAATTTACACAGAATATTTTGAGTTCTAAATACATATAACTACCAAAAACGTACCACAGATGCACATCAAGCTAAAATGATTCAGTCAAGGGCTAATACAACGACATACATTGATAGCAGCTATAAATTTTCCACTTAATTAAGTTTCACTTAAATGTTATCCAATTAGCTGGAGAAATTTTAATGTATTTATGTCATGTACACAATTTCATTATTGTAGTGCAATAAGATTTGCATGCCATTTTTTGCTAAAAACAAAAAACAGGGACGTCAATTAATTTAGAAATGCAAGTACAGCCAATTATAAGACGGAAGAAAATGTTCAGAGTATTTTCGTAATTCAAACTAAGACAGCCGAAGCTACAAAGAAACAATCACTGAAGCATAAATAAATACTTCTTTGAACAGCTTTTTGATGCATGCCCCTTTGTGCTCATCTCACATACAATCTGTATTGCACAAAAAAGTTGGGAAGTTTCAGTCCTTTCAATCCCAAGTCGCGGCCAGTTAGTTGAAATTTATTTCATTTAAATTATTTAAATTTCTCTAGCTGAATACAAAAGCATCACCAGAGCAGTGAAAAGGTAGCTCTAATTAACCTTGATATTTTGTACTGAATCAGTTCAATCACTGCAAAATGGTTATAAGAAAATGCCACAAATAAGTTACAGTACAGAGCGATTCGGATTTAGTTGAGAGAAATATTGTAAAGTCACACACCTAGCTGTTACTTTTCAAAAATATGTTCTTAAACTGTCAGATAAAACAGTGCAGCAGCATGCTTATTCTCTAATGACACTAGGTCAAGACAGGGCCTGTGTTACATCCAATAAGCTAAGTTTCTTAACAAGGGACTCTTAGGTCCCAAAGTAATGATGTATAGATATTCTGCAAGGTCACATTTCAATTCATGGAAGTGCTCGCCTGATGCTTGAGATTCAGTAAGTGCCCATTTTAATTTGGCTCATATAGTGTTGTTCTGCTTTAGCATTAAGAAATATAATGGGGCTGGTGTATGTACTTAGCTTCTGCTTTAGTGCCATTTTGTACCAGGGTCAGAGTGTCATCTGACAATTGGTAGCATTTTGAAGTGATCTTTCCTGGTAGCCGACTCTCTCCTGTGTGCTGCTCCCCTGCCAGATTTTCCCACTAAACACTTCTCATCTAATCCCCGAGTTTGCAGTTCCTTTCGCTCCCTCATTTGCTTTTGCACTCCTGCAAAATCTTTTGCAAGCACTTAATCACAGCTGGTTCAGGAGAGGGAAACTGTGAGTCAGAAAGACAAGTGGAAAGAGTTAGCATATTTCTTCTTTATTTCAAGTTATCTCATTTATGAATAGAGGAACTCAGGGATGTCCAATATTTCATCGTGCAGGATGCATCCTGATGCGAGAAGTTCCACAAAACCTAACAAGAGTTTTTAAATTGGTTGTAATGGAAAAATCTGATTTACTTAAGTCGCTTCACTTAAAGTTGCACTTTTCAGGAATGCAACTCCATCTGCAACATTAATCCAAGAATTATCATATCTGGCAATGTTATAAAAACGGAACATGAACAAATGAATTAATGGTAATGCACACTTTAGAAAGGTTATGTTCAAAGAATGCAAATTTGACTTTTTATGATGGAGTGAGAATGGAAGAAACCACATTAGTTTGTGCCAATGTTTCCCAAAGATTTCACTGTTTTCACTTTTTCAAGGGTGGTGCAAAACAGAAGCCAAGGACAAGCTTACAAAGAAGGACAGACATTTGAGCCAGTTGTCTGAAGTCTCTCCTTAATTACTTAAATTTTAAACTCCTTGGCTGAAATGCTAACTACTTAGACATTATTAGGCCATTCTGCACCACAGAATCCAAGTACTGAAACAAATACATGTGCCGAAGGAAGGAAAAAATGGAAAGGAAATGCACATTACATAAAACAATACTTATGACTTTTCGCTCCTTAAACACTGGTAGAATGAAAACACCTTGAAGTAGTTTATAGCACAATAGCTACTATGTTTTCCTCTGGGAATTAACTTATGGAATAAAATTCAACAATATAAATCAAACTTAATTCTCAAATTTCAGGATTCAGTCAGGCAAACTATCTATGAAGTAGAACACCTTATACCTCATCAAAAGCTGACACAAGACCAGCTGAACCACTTTCATTCTGGAAATATGATTCAATCATATCCATCTGTGTTGATCATAAATTTCAGTCAACACAAGGTTTTAAGGCACTTTCTGACAAACTTATAATACAAAAGGAGTCACAGACATCGACATAGAACAGTGCAGCACAGGAACAGGCCCTTCAGCCCACCATTTCATGGCCAACCAAGATGCATTCTAAATTAATTCCATCTACCCACACAAAGTCCATATCCCTCTATTCCCAGCCTATTCATGTGGTGGTCCAAAAACAATACAAGATCATTCGGTCCTTGAACTGTTTTGCAGTGTTTTTACTTTAAACATGGGGGCATGGCATTTGTGAATGTCACATACTAACTGTATAAAATGCAAATTGTTGTCTGCAACTTCGAAAGGTTTATTTGTGCAAGCCCATGAAACTGATACAAAGCAAAAGAGGACAACATCCACACAATGGCTCGACTGACAGAAGTTTATTGCTTTTTGTTAATCTTTTGAAAAATGGTCAAGGCTAGCATCACCACCTTAAATACCGACTTGGACTCATCTATCTGGCATTAAGGTAGTACATTTAAGTGAACAGCTGAATTGCTCTTAGAGCAGAGAAAGTAAGGAAAATATACCAGATATATGCACAAATAATCAGGGTCGAAGCTAAATAAGGATAAGCTGCTTCCACTAGCAGGGAGGAACTACAACCAAAGGACTAATACTTAAAGTAATCAACAAAAGAATCCGAGGCAAAAATTATTGAGGAAGTTTATACAGCAAATTACGATGCTCTGAAATATTTGTTGCCTGAAACATTAGTGGAAACAGACTGAACGATAGCTTTCAAAAAGGAATTGGATAAAAACTCAAAAGGGAAGAAACTGCAGTGTCAAGGGATGAGAGATGTAGTGGGACTAATTATCTGGTAATTCAAAGGGACAACAACTGCCAGTGGGCACTACACCCACCACACATAATATACACTCCTGCCTGTCTTTTAGAGACCAGGCCTGTGACGAGGCGCCGGGGTCTAGTCTCTTTCTGCCCACGACCTCTCTTTAGGCGCTGTGGACATTTTAGGCTTGCCAATTGTGCCAACAGCCCAGATCGGCAACCTGCACACCACTCTCCTCAGGGGGGTATAGGGAGGTGAGCGGAACATCTTGTCTCATCACCCTGGTTGACAGCCTGTCCCTGACCTACCTACAATTGGACACATGAAACAGTGCCTACTGCAGTGAAAAGATGAGAATGTGTTTATAAATTGTATTTGCTAGCTTAAATAATTGGGAACAACTTGGAACACAAAACCTCGTTACAAAATATACTTTTAACAAAAATCAACTGATACTGAAGCCAAAATGCAAACTCATGACATTGCTCTGTTCCTGGAACTGAATAAAATATCACTTTTCTGTTACAGTATCTCAAAATGAGGGCAACTCACATTGTCACAGCCACCATGCCGATATACCAATCTGAAAAGTTTGAATAAATTCAGATCCTTATAGCCCAGTACAGGTGGTTTATTGATAGGTGTGCCTAGAAAATAATTAATTGGTTACATTCCTCAAATACAAAGAAGCAACTTCACAATTAAGAAATTCATTTGTGGAATAGTACAAAAAGAGGCTACACAGCAATGGGTTAATTGAGTGGACAAAGATCTGGCAATGGAGCATATTGTGGGGAAATTATCCATTTTGGCAGAAAGAATATAAAAAAAAATGTGTAACTAAATGGGGAGATTTCACAGAACTCTGCGATGCATAAGGATCTAAGTGTCCTCATGTATCAGCTGTAAAAGGTTAGTATCCAAACACAGCAAGTAATTAGGAAGGGTAATAAGATATTATTATTTAGTGCAAGGGGAACTGAATACCACAATGAGGAGGTTATGCTTCAGTTACATAGGGTATTGGTGAAACACATCTGGAGTATTATGAACAATATCGGTCTCCTTATTTAAGGACATAAATGTATTGGAAGCAGTAAAGAGTATCTACTACTACTCAAAATACATAGGTTGTCTTATAAAGGAAATGTTGGACAGGTTAAGCTTGAATCCACTGGAAATTAGAAAAGTGACAGGCAATATGATTCAAATGTACTTGATCCAGAGTGGTCTTGATTAGGTGCCGGTGGAAAGGATATTTCCTCTTGTGGGAGAATCGAGAACAAGGGTTAACAATTTCAAAATAAGAATCACTCATTTAAGGCAGGGAAGTGGAGACCGTTTCAAAAAAAAAAGGTCAGAGGGTCATGAGGCTTTGAAACTTCCTCCCTCAAAGTAGTGGAAGCAGAGTCCTTCAATATTTTTAAGGCAGAGGTAGACAGAATCTTGGTAGGCAAGGGTGAAAGGTTTTCGGAGGAAGATGTGAATTTGGAGTAAGTAGATCAACAATGATTTTATTGAATGGCAAAGCAGGCTTGAGGGTCTGAGCAGTCTTCCAATTCTATGTTTGCAAATTATAATCCAAAAGAAATATCTAGATCTTTGCACACTTCTAGAAGATTAAGCAAAAATCTCTGTGCAGCATCATGTCATACCACCAATATTCCCTTTTATATTTAGTTGCTGCAAGATTTCATTACATTTATTTGCACAAGCATCATTTCTCACAGAAAAAGGCCTGTGCAGTACCTCATAAGTTACTATGTGGAGGAACACCTATTTTGCAGGAAGAATGCCCAAAATCAAAATACATCCTCACTTTTCTGCAGTTCACATGATTTACCTAATTTTATAACTCAACTATGTTCACAGCAGGCAAAACAAACATACCATATGCAATAACTCAAATACATATACATTATTGGTTAACACAGGCTGTCAAGATAAATCAGCAAGGTTTGTGCATTTCAGTCTAAGAGCTTAGAATTACGTTTTGTCGGTAAATTTCTGCACCTGTTAGATTATAAATGGAGAAATGAGATACACATCCCATTAAGGTAATGAAGGCATTAACTGACCCCTCCAAATTGATACTGGAAATTTATTTAGCATCCCAACTGAAATTCACAGTATTGCTATGTGCGAATTGCAGCCTGAGACCTGTTATAAAGAAATGCTGGCAGTGTTTTATCGATTAGGCAGAGACACTCCACTGTGTAACTTATTTAAAGCCACTGTAGGCTGTTATTTTAAGCATTTGAGATTTGGTTACACTGGTTACTTTTTATTTGTAGCTTAAAAAACTTGATTACTTATTGTTACCGTTCATATCTTTAACACTTGCATTAAATTAGAAAACATTTCAGAGGTCAAAGTACAATCATTAGTGAAAAAGCCAACTTGAGCTTGCAAGCAGTCCTTACCCCTATCCTCCATAAACTTGTAAAGCTGCTGCAAGAAGTTATCCCTCTCTTCTGGATCAAGCTCTTCTTCTGACTGGAAACAGACAGATATTGACAGTCAAGATCTAGTCAGATTAAGAATTACAATCAGAAAACATGAGCAAATATTAGCAGATAGGGTCTTCACAAATTTAACAACGCCATTACCTGTACCAACCAGCTATACTTGTGCAGGCTTTGAAAATATAGTTCAGCAGTTGAGTAAGAAAATCTTTTAAATATTTTTAAATTCTCCATCCTTTTGCAAGTACCTGATTTATCCTTAATACAAATGTTGCAAATCAATTTATTAATTTTCTTCTTCTCAAATACTTTGCTCAAATGCAGTTCTTTGGTATTAACCAACTATCCATAGCAAAGTGCTGTAATTTTTCTTTTAACAGTGGATAAAACAAGGTGGTCAGCCCTAAGTGCACTTTGACTGGAATGGGATTGAACTTCATGCGGTTGGTGTTAATCTGATCCATACACTTGTTGTCCTGCCAACCAATGTGCCCACATACATAAAATCTCTGTGGGAATTTAGAAGTTTTTTTCAAAGAAGCAGTGGTTGAAACAAAATCAAGAAAAACTTTTTAAAAGACGAAGGATGCAAACCAATGTGGAAAAGATTGGCAAGCAGACTAGATGGGAAGGTCTTTCAATAAGTCAGGACAGACAAAATTGGCCAAATGGCTTTCTCTTGTGTTGTATAATTCACCTCTCAGTCTTTGAGAGATGCCACTATAAAAGTGAGTGGATGCAGAATTTGGTGAACAACTGACAACTTTCGTCACTAAAACTACTTACTACACAGGAATGTAAAGCTAATCTCAATTTCTCTCCATCATAAACATTTTCTTAAACCATAATCCTATCTGACAATGGTGCAAGAAGTTTATTAACTTCCCCATCAAAAATTGCAACCATCCAATCAGCAGCTCTGTCTCTTCTTCTGACTCATAGGACAAATGTGCCCAAATGTTCACCATTACCCTAGCCCTAAACTTGCATCTTCTTTAAATTCTAGCCATTCTGTCACAAAGTTCCATGACTTCAGCAAGTCCCCTAGACCAACTTCCTTTTATAACTTATTCTGAAGTCAAGTGGTGAGATATGAAATTACACAGCAACATTTTTACTTAACATTGGGTTTATTTACAGAAATGTATCTTCTCCTTCCTAACCAATACCCAGTGTTCAAAAGTTTTTATTGTATGTGCCAAAAGATATATTAATCCATCAATGCCTTTAACCCTTGCATCTTTAGACAAACCATTAACAGATTCTTCTTCTTTTTAAATTAAAACTTTATAACACACAAACAGGATTTCAAAATCAAAGACACATAATGAGATATCTGTTGGCTAGGCTCACGAAATTATTAATCACAAGATTCCTTTTTGTAAGGGAACCTGTCAACAGGTGACTTGTGTAAACTCATTTAATCATGAAAATTTCTTTTCTTTCTACATTCTCTTTTATACCAGCTTTTGGGCTATTTAGATTTTCAGAAGGCTTTTGCTAGGTCAGTAAATAAAATCAATGCATGGGATTATTGTAATATACCGGTATGTGTTGAAAACTGGTTAACAGGCAAAGCAGAGAGTAGGAATAAATGTAATGGTCTGCCATCCTGAAAATGATCAAAGGGGTACAGCAAAGATCAGAGCTAAGTACACAGCTATTCATCACCTCTACAAATGATTTGGATTTTGGGGTAAATTGTAATATTTCCAAATTTGCTGATGACATTAAATTGGATGGGAATGTAAGTTTTGAGGAGGATGCAAGGAAGCTTCAAGGGGACTTGGTTAGGCTAAGTGAATGTGCTAGAATACAAGAGATAGAAAGACAGATGGTTTGTTGGCCTTCATCACAAAGGGATTTGAGCACATAAGTAAAGAGGTCTTTCTGTAGTTATATGGGGTCTTGACGAGACCAGGCTTGGGACTGGTGTGTACAGTTTTGGCCTCTTTATCTAGAGTGAGATACAACTGCCACAAAGGAAATGCAACAGAGGTGCAGCAGATTAATCCTTGGATGGTAGGATTGCTGATGAGAAGACATTGAGGAGAGTGGGTCTGTAATTCTTAGATTTTAGAAGGATAAGGAATGATCCTCATTGAAACTTACAAAATTCTTCCAGGGCATGATACCACGGATGTAGATAAGAGGTCCCCCTGGATGGTGAGTCTGAAACCAGGGTATATAATCTCTCAGATGGTGGTGAAACTTTTTATTTCTCTGTACCGAAGGAACTGTAGAAACTCAATCACAGAGCATGTTCAAGATAGAAATTGATACATTTCTGGCAACTAATGACATTAAGGAAATATGAAGATAGTCAAGAAGGTGGCATTGGGATAGTCCAGGTGGCAAGGGAAACTGGGGAGAAGCAGACGGCAAGAGGAGGTTGGGAGAAGAGACAAGTCCAACGAGGAACGAAGGGGAAGTGGATACTGCAAAGGGGATAGAGGGTGGGGGTGTTATTCTAAGGAATGGTTAAATAAGGGATTAGAGTCAAATGATTGATTAATTGACTGGCTAGATATAAAGGAGGAATGGGTGGGCTTTTATGGAGGAGTAGTAGTATCCCTACCTCTGTACGAAAAGGCTTTGGATTAAGCCCCACCTATAATAACATCGTTGAACAATTGATTGGAAAGTATCTATAACTGAGGAGCTGTTAAAGTCTATCCACAAATAAAGATGTTTTGGTTTTCATCTCAACAGTTACCTTGGATATGAATTGACAATGTGAGCAGATAATGGCTGCCGAAAGGTGAAGGTCAGAAACTCTAATTTCTTTTCAGTCAGAAGATTGCAATCAAAGTTATATTGCAGAGGAATAGCTAAAACCATATGTAAAATGTCACAGTATGATTTCCCACAGATGTTGTGCAAAATTAAATTTTACAATCAATGGAAAAATAAATTCAATTTAAGACATATCGAACATCTTTGACAAGAAAAAAAGGCAAGGTATGGCCTTGGCACTGTAATTCCTACTAGCAGTAAGATCTGGTGTAAAGTATTCTCAGAGCGAAAGCCTCAACATTGGACACCAAGAAAGGTTTGGAAATGCTGTTAGCATTTATGGACAAAATTTATAGGAAAGACAACATGTTGAATGCAAATGAGAGATGGTCATACCCTGTCAAATTTAGAGAGCAGGATTAATATTCCATAGAAGATGATAATGTCAAATTTAGCAGAATACAATCGCAAAAATTCTAGTTTGGGATTCCTACTTCAGTGCACGCCTTTAAATTGTTGGACTGTGCTAAGTTATCAAGCGTATATAGATACCTAGGATTTAACTGGAGTTAGATTTTCAGAAATAAACATGCTTTTAGAACAGATATCTGGTGCCTTTAAAAAATCCTGGGAATCTTCATTTCCAGTGGCCTTTATATCTCAAATAGGACATTCAACGGTAATACAGAGAAAGGAGGATTCAAAAGAGATTTAAAAAGTGACAAAACTGGCCAGACACAGGTTGAAGGTGTCAGAGAGAATTATCATATCTAATAGCAGCAAAGACAGAGACACTTCTGGCAATGAGAACAGACAACAGGGATTGGGGAACTGCGACAGAAAAATGAACCAAAGAGTCTGGGATATGGTCAACAGGTTTGTAAGATGTACATCGAAATGCCATTAGGAAACAAGTTGCCCTCAACAGAATGACAAGGTTTTCAAAATTACATGTGGTATCAAAGTTTCGGCAGATGATGATGATATGGTGAGGCAGACGAAATTGTACTGATGACAATAAGTTTCAGCCCAGGAATGAATGTTTTAGTCACAAATTCATTCAAAAACTGTGTGTGTGTAGTGGATTGGTTAAAATGTTGCCTAAATTCTTTAACTTAACTTTTGACATTGTTTTTTCATGAATTTGAGAGCTCTACCTACTTCAAGTCTGGTGATGACAACATGTTGAAATCACTTTAAAAAGTGGCTATTCCCTGTAAAATCACTGGGGTAAACCGTTTCATCAGCCCAAACATAGCAAAAAGTGAAATATCCTTGCTGCTCAGCAGGCCATATATGAGAAAGGCTCAAATGATACTGGATACGGAATACAACAAGGCAACAGTTATTGCAAAGTCAGTGGATTTACATTTTAAGCAATCCAGATAATGCTGTACTTTTACAAGACTTAACTTCTCAAAGCAAAACATTAAAGTAGTTATTATTAGCATTATGAGGTAGGAGCTCAATTGTTATTTTATAACAATTTCAGCAGTTTGACCATCTATCTTCTCAAACTAAAAATCAAACCCAAGGATGCAAGAGTAAAGGATAATGATCATTCAGAACTTACAGAAGAGATCAGCAATAAACGTTTTCAGTCAATATGGAGTCTCTCATTCACAAAGACTTTTAACAAAGTTGAAACAAAGGACTTGAAGGTATGGGATAATGAAAAACATTATCATAATGCACTTCATAAACATGGAACTAAATTTAGTCAGTGTTGACATGATATACAGTAAAATGCAATGTTTCCTCTAAGTTGTGCAGCTGCGCGGAGGGTCTGAGCATGCAAATCTGTAGATGTATTGACTTCTGGTTCCAGAAGATCCTGCCACGCGTGGACCTCTGGAGGTCTGCAAGGCAGCAGGAAACATTAGAAGGAACTAGCTCAAGAGGAAAGAGTAGTCATGGATAAGCTAGTGGAGAAGGGGATTGGGATTACAGCAGGAACATCACCTAAATTTCTAATTGACAATATGCTAATGATGAACTTACAGATGTGGGTGTTTAAAGATCATCAAGGCTGATTTACAACTGAGGACTGGGGAAGGGATTGTTGCACTTTTGAAAACAAGTTAGTGAAACTCATTGTGCAAGCAGTGGAGGTGGTGAGATAAGACACATCCAAAACATTATACAGAGTGTGATTTGGCTGACAACAGGTAGCTGATTGATTTGTGAGAATATGACAGTTGTGGATGCTGGAAGTTGGTGGGTGAGCTGGGTGGCTGGCTGAGCGAGCAAGCAGACGACTAGGTATGAGTGAGTACAAATGATACAGTTGCAAAT